TTGATGAGTGGCGATCACCTGTTACAATCAAACTTATCAATTAAATATCATGATTATTTGGAAGTATAAATGCAAAAATTTCAGCAACAACCGTAGAGAAATCATTATTTTTTTTATATTGATTTAGTTCTGACGAGCGGCAATCAAACTTAACGATTGATTGTTATTTTTTATTTGGAAGCATATATTCAAAAAGTCAATCAAGAACCCTAACCAATTTAGCTTTGACGAGTGGCGATACCTACATGGGGCCGTTACAACCAAACTTATTGATTTGATGTCCTGTTTATTTGGAAGCATAAATGCAAAAATCTCAGCAAATAACCATAGAGAAATCATTACATTTTAATATTGATTTACTTGTGACGAGTGACAATCAAACTTACCGATTGAACGTTATTTTTATTTGGAAGCATAAATGCAAAAAGGTCAATTAATAAATCTAATCGATTTAGCTTTTGAGGAGTGGTGATCACTTATAGAGACGTTACAATCAAATTTATCGATTGAATGTCCAGTTTATTTGGAAGCATAAATGTAAAAAAAGTCAATCAATAACCATATTCAATTTAGATTTGACGAGTGGCGATCACCTATAGAGCCGTTACAATCAAACTTATCGATTGAATGTCCTGTTTATTTGGAAGCATAAATGCAAAAAGTTCAACAACAGCCGTAGAGAAATCATTAATTTTTTTTAATTGCTTTAATTTTGACGAGTGGCAATCAAACTTATCGATTGAATAAATGCAAAAGGTCAATCAATAATCCTATTCGATTTAGCTTTGACGAGTGGCGATCACCTATAGAGCCGTTACAATCAAACTTATCAACTGTTGTAAGTATAAATGCAAAAAGTTCAGCAATAGCCGTAGAGAAATCGTTAATTTTTTTTAATTGATTTAGTTTTGACAAGTGGCAATCACTTATAGAGGGTCGTTACAATCAAATTTAACGATTGAATATTATGTTTATCTGGAAGCATATATACAAAAAGGTCGATCAATAACTGTAAAGAAGTCGTTAGAAATTTTATATAGATTTACCTTTGACGAGTGGCGATCACTTCTGACATAGAGCCCCAATCTGCGACAAGAAAAATAAATTTATTCAACTTTTTTTTTGTCGGCGATATATTTAAAAACATTTAGTCACAAATACTTGTTTTCCAAAATAGTAAAAAAACATTAATGTGGAACAATTGAGTTTTTTAAAAAGTATGATTGGCGAAATAATTAAGCTTTCGAAAAATTTAGTATGTGAAATACATTAATATATTCAAAACTTAATTTGCCCTTTTAATGTTTGAATCCCTATATTTTTCTACTAAAGGAACTTTAATAAATAAATATTTTTCAAAATATATAAAATAGAGAAAAATATTTATGGTGGAAAATCCATCGGTTACAAAACATGAATAGTGAATTAATTGGGATTTAAATATCATTTTATTTCTAAAAATAAATTGCTTTGTCTTTTTCAATGTTTGGTTTCAAATGATTCCTTCACTAAAATTACATTAATAAATACGTGTTTGTCCAAAAATATAAAGACAGAAAAGGTTGAAAAAAATTAAATGTGAACGGTTAATTTGTTGCAAAATACGAATGGCAATTAATTAATTGAGTTTCCACACAATTTAATATGCTAATTATCAAACCATTTCAAATAAACTTCAGGGATTCATCATTACTTTAACAACATTCATAGCAAGGCAATTTGAGTACAGTCAAGAGAATCTTAAGAGCAATATAAGGAAGAAAGTAAAGAAACTCCCAAAGTCTTGATGGATTTAGCGGGAGTCCTAGATATCTAGTTGGAAATGACCCTAAAGAACACATTCCAAGGAATTTCTTTATAACATGGCTCCACTATGTTAGCTAGATTACTCACACGAGACAGACTTTGTAGATTGGGAATGAATGTTTTTGAGGATTGTGTCTTATGATCTTCTGCGGAGACGCATCAGCACCTATTTTTCGAATGCGGTTTTTTGTCCAGCATTTGGTCTTTGTTCGTCTCTAAAGTATGGCCTAACCCTCCTCAAGATCATATCTTTCTCCACTTCTCTGCTGTGAATGTCTTATATATTTCATCAAACATCATTTAAATATCATGAATGCTAAAAAAATTGTTTGCATCTTAGATTTGTTAAAAGATGTTATATTGTAAAAAGTAACATGTAATAGTTCAATCTTTATACTAATAATCGCTAAAAGTAAATAGGTCAAAATGCATGACGACATGAGCTCTCGTCTGGTGCTCTCTATGAGCTTCGACGCATACGTAACTGAAATCGCTTGTATTGATAAACGTTTAAGAAGTTACGGTAAAATCATTCTCTAAAACTTTTTTCAAACAATTAATACTCCATAAAATACTATTTTGTATTAAAAGAATGTTGAGTTTCTGACAATAACAATTTTGACCGTTACTAATATGAATTTATCGATTATAATATTAGCTCAAATAACACCGTATAATATTTTATAAAAAAATAGTATTTTATGGTTTAAATTTAAACCATAAAATATTATGCAGTGTTGTTTGAGCTAATATTATAATTGACAAATTCATATTATTAACTGTCAAAATTGTTGTCAGAACCCCAACCTTCTTTTCATAATTTCCAAATCTCTTTTGTAATCTTTGGCGTTATTCTTTGGTGATTCCATGGTGCTCATCGCCAAGTTTAACCCTAAAAGTGTAGAAGAACCTACAAACCACATAAAAATAAAATATAGAAGTTAACATCAGAAAATGGAGACAGAAAAAAAAAGAAAAAAAAAATGAAACGTTTATCAGTTCACTTGTCATCTCCTTTACTGACAAATGCAGTTCAAGACCAAAACAAGATTTAGTAACCGCTAAAATTCTTGGATGCAAGATAATTATAATCTTAAACTCTAGGATCAACTAAAGAGCCATGGACCATGGACTCTCTCACCCAATTTCAAAAGAGGCTCAAATTCCTTTTTGAAAACCATATGAATTTGTTTACACTCTAGTAAAATGGGAGAAAACAATCAACTTTAAAGATTTTCCAAATGTCCAGAGTATATATCTATAACTCCACCCTATAAAGAATACATGTACAGATGAAGCAGCTATAATTTACAAGCAAACAAGAATTAGGGATTACAAAATTTGATAGATGGAGAGTTGAAACGTTTAAAAAAAAAAAAAAAAAAAAAAAATCAAGAAACTAACCAAAATCTTGATGGATTTAGCGGGAGTCCTAGATATCTAGTTGGAAATGACCCTAAAGAACACATTCCGAGGAATTTCTTTATAACATGGCTCACTATGTTAGCTAGATTACCCACACGAAGTAGACTTTGTAGATTGGGAATGAATGTTTCTGAGGATTGTGTCTTATGCTAATCTTCTGCCGAGACGCATCAACACCTATTTTTCGAATGCCGTTTCTCGTCCAGCATTTGGTCTTTGTTCGTCTCCTCAAGATCTTCATGTCGCGGCACCTTGGATCTCCTCTCTCCCACCATCAATCCTCGTCTTAAGCTCAAGTCATCATCAAACGTTTTAGATTTCCGTTCAAAATATCTTTCTCCACCTCTCTGCTGTGAGTGTCTTATATATTTCATCAAATATCATTTAAATATCATAAATACTAAAAAAAATTGTTTGCATCTAAGATTTATTAAAAGATGTTTAAATTATATTGTAAAAAGTAATATTTAGCAGTTCAATCTTTATGCTAATCGCTAAAAGTAATGGGTCAAAACGCATGAGCTCTCCTCTCTATGAGCTTGGAGGCATATGTAACTGAAATCGTTTATTACTCTCTTTCCATAACAATGCAAGGAACTTAGACAGACAAACGAGAGAATATTGAGAAGAGAATCAGGACATTCTATACAATCTTTCGAAAATTGAAATTTAATCCGTCGCACGTCAACGATAAAAGTCCATGTGTCCAAACAATACCAACCAAATGTTTAGCGTACAAATAATCTCCAAATCTTTCACGAAAAGAATCATTTCAAAGAAAATGACATAAAGAAACTGGTAACAAACTCGTGCCCACTTTACAAAGACACCTCACTAAGCTCCAAGTCTGGACCAAAACTTTTGTTCATATATCGCTAGTAACATACATGGAACCAGGAGTTGTAGGCTTGTAGCCAAATTGCTAAAGAACAAAATCATTAATATGACATAGCTACGAGCAATATATGTTATATACTTAAACGTCTAAATGTGTTTGTTCGCTTTGTCGGTCTAATTAAGTATACACACGTACATATGTCTCAACTAATTGTTTTCGTTGACGTCGTTTCTAAGAATTTCTCGTATTCACGAATCTCACGTTTGACATAAGCTAAAGGACATTTTATATTCAGCCAATTAGTTCAAGTTATCCACATGTACCTTCGTGCCATATCTATCTTGATTATAATCATAGACATAGACATTTATCCAAAAGAACCGTAATAACATAACTCATACATGAATAATCAAAGTTATAACAACACAAAACCACGCCCCTCCCTCTGTATACCCAATGAAAGCCACACCTAAGAAGAAAAGTGAAACTAAAAATGATATAAAATTGAAAATTCTTGAGTTCTCTAACCCCATGAGAAACCCAAATATACCCTCCTAATCCCAATGAAAAGAAACACCAACACATGTGGTGGACCTTAGAATTACATAGATGAAAAAAAAGAAGAAGATGAAAGTCAGGACCATATTATGTACATACACATATAATTTACCTCGAATGAGCTTAACAGTAGAACATAGTAAACCTTGAACCAATCTTGAGCCCCTTTTGTTTTTGTAGAACAACTCGATGGAAGATGAATGAGATGGTGAGATGAAGAGGATCCGAGGGAGCTTTATAGTGGCCAGGATCAACATTGCCCCTGATTTGATCTCTCTGATCCAAGCTTCTTCTCTCATCTCAAAACACAAAAGAAAATAAAAATGTGATGAAGATAAACCCTAGCTAGTTATAGATCCTATAACCCCAAAGTTTATATCAAGGAGGTGAGGGACGATCCAACGTTATTATTTGTTGGATCAAGCCATGCTCCATTGACAACACTCGCATTATTCCATATGTTGTTGTAGTTTGAAGGATCTAAAGATGATGATGACATGAACCCATTCATGTTCCCAGAGATCTGATCAAGCTTCCCTTCTTTGTTCATATCTTCATTGTTACCTCCAACATGCAGATCTTGAAGTGATGCTAGGGTTTGAAGATGGGATTGACCCAGCATATCACCCCCATTGTTCATGGGCTTGTGTGGATGCTGGAGAAGAGTAGAGGAAGATGAAGATACAGAAGACCCGAATAGACCCGAGAGAAGGAAGGGTTTGTTTGCTGTAGAGTTGTTGATGAAGCTACCATTAATGGTATTGCCATGATTAATATGATGTGTAAGCCCTAATCCAAGACCACTGAGACCACTAAACCCAGATGAGATAAACTCACTCTCTAAACCACTTGATGAAGAAGACTTTGAAGAATCACTGAAACGACTTGGAATCATTGGAAGGTTATTACCATTGCTCACATGATCTGATAAACCATAGAACAAGGGATGATGATTCATAGAGAAATGGGAGATCTGATGAGGGGATGAGGAAGTCGTGGTTGAAGACGTGCAGGCAGTGGTTGGGTTTCCGGTTGCTGGCCGCTTCACCCGTTTGTTCTTCCGGTAGCTACCGCCTACGGGAACGTTCCGGAGGGTTCCACCTCTCGTCCAGTACCTCTTGCAAGCCTTGCAAAAGTGCCGCGGCTGAGAGAGGCTGTAGTTGTTGTAGTAACAGAACTTTGTGTTTGAGGAATCGCAACGAGGGCATTTAAGTTGCGGCTGCGGTTGCTGAGGTTGCTGTTGTTGTTGTTGCTGCTGCTGATGAGATGAAGCCACGATCATGTTCTTGCTTTGCATACTCGCCTGAGAAGAGAGGGAGAAAGAGAGAGAGATGGGATTTTTAGATCGTGTGGTTTAACTAAAGGCAAGAGAACAAAGAGAGGACAAGATGATATTATTCGGATCCAAAAGCTAAGAAACAAAAGATAAATGGGTCATATTATTTAGAGAGAGAAAATCAAAAGGGGAGTGAGAGAGAGACCAGTGGATTGGTATTGGGAGAGCTGATGATAGGCATCTTCTTCTTCTGGTCACAATTGCCAAACATATCTTTCTTGATTAAGCTCTTTTGATTTTGTTTTCTTTCTTTGTTTCTTCACTTCTTTAAAGAAGAATCCTTTTCAAACCAGCAGTGTACAGACAAAGAGCTGTTGGCTACTGAAGCTATTATTACTGTTTCTACTTTCAAGATTGAAGCACAAAGATTCTTGACAGATGTTTTTTAAGCTCCTTACTTTATATTATTTGTAATATTGTTATTTGTGCCACTATTGATTAACTATTATATATATATATATATATGTGTGTTGTGTGTCACTAGGGTTTTCTCTAGATTTTTTTTTTTTTTTTTTTGATTTAATGTTGTTCTCTAGTTGTACTAAACATATAGCTACTATACTAGTGTTTTTTAAATAAGATTAATTTTCTACAGGATATTCAATATGCCTTTGTTCTAAAATGGTCCTTACAGCGGCTTATTTTACCGAATTATATCACAGAAATAAACAATTTGACCATCATGTCTCTATGAAAAAACATCAGTTTCCTTGACCGACTTTTATTGAAATCGCTTTCATTAATTTGAAACTCAAAACAAAAAACAAAAAAATAAACAATAAGAGTTATTCAATGACAACACCAAATAATTTCAAACTTGGTCTTTCTTTAAATTAATCCAGAAATTATTTGAGCTAACTGAAATAAAATTAGTAAAACCGTTAATCTTTTTGCTTATAGAATTAGAAGTAGTATACCTGTTTTACACGCACCTTATTCTTTCGGATCCTTAAGAGAAAAAAAAGATCTTGTTCTTTCGGGTCCTCGTCAATCCTGATTGTAATGTCGTCTTTGGGTATCTTGTGGTCTCCACTGTTATATGTGCAACTTGTCATCGCCTGTTTGACGCGTTACGTTCTGCACTTTTTCTTTACTTGTGATTTTCATTTAACACAAATGTGGTATTTTATAAACCCCCATAATTTGAGGATGGTAGAGCCGAGTTCTAGACTTCTACAGTGGTGACTTGGAATAGGCTGGTTCTATATTATGTTGAAAATCTGTTTGGTTGGTTACTCATTTAGTGAAATGAAGAGTGAGCAGTCCTAAAGAGATCATTTGTTTTTTTTTTAGTTTCAGAGTGTCGGAAACTATTATTTGAGGCATGTAAAATGTGAAAATACGTTAAATCTATTATCTACACCTATATAGAACCGCACTTGAAATATCAGTACATCTGAAATATCTAACATACGAACTCACTCTAACTTGCAACCAAAGTTAGCTCTGAAAAACCAGTGGTGATCAAGCAAAAGCAAATTGTAGTTGGTTTTTTGTTGATGGAATTTTTTTGGCAAACTGAATTTGTCAAATCTGTTTAGTTAGGGATGGACATAAATATTTGCTGTCGGTCTTGTTTGTATCCCATTTAAAAATCTTTCTTGTAAACAAATTTTTGTTTTTGATGATCAAGGTGTATAACAATTACGAATCAAAAAGTAATAGGATCTCTTTAATCTCGCTTATTTATCTTTGCTATCCAAAATAAATACATTATGAATCATTGCAATAATTTGCACACAGATGTCAGAATTAAGTTTCTACTCGGATGGGACTCTAGAGAGCATAGCTTTTCTTCTTCAATAGACGATTGGAACATTTTAGATTCTCTTCTTACTTGTTTGTTGAGTTAAGAAGCACAAATGAAAATGATTTTCTTAGAGTCTGGTTAGTAACACAAAGGTTTTGCTTTTGGCAATGCCACAACCCGAAGAATACTAGCATCACTCGAAGCTGATTTGCAAGCTCACTCATCCTACACCCTTCTCTTAACTTGGTTTGTCATTTTTCAACCTTTGACAGAAAAGAAGATATTCTTTCACTCAAATGATTAGGTCTCAACGTAATGAGTTTCAGTTCCAGTAGATTTCAAGACGCAATGACAACAATAGCACAAACAAATAGACTTCTTATTTTGGTCATGTCAAGGGATGAAATATAAATACTATCTTATCCGGTTACTTGTTTTCAAAACACTACTAAATTTAGATATTTGTAAGAATCAGAAGTAAACAGTAATTATTTCAAATTTTATAGGACTTGTTTTTTCTTGTGCGCCCATGCCCTAATTTTAGCTTAACAAGGCCGGTCAATTTGACAAAAGAAATCTAGATCCAGAATCGGTTAGTATTAGATTTAATTAATGTGTATATATATATATACATATTGTAAATGTAAGAAGGAAAAAGATAGAGACAATAAAGGAGAATGTAACAGGTGAATCTTTCAGAGGGATCGAGGAACATCACTCATCACGATAAGTGACATTCTTTTGCATATTGTGGAATTGGAGTGAATCCCTAGACCCACCTCCAACTCTTTATTTTTATTTATACAAATTCTAACAATCATATAATATACGCATCTATCATACATGCTTAACTATAGTTTATACGCGTCGGTTTGAATTTTATATGATAACCCCCCTATAATAGTACTAGTTGCACCTTTTGAGATGTTACTAATAATTCAAGAGATTGCCTCCATTATTTTAGTTAGCTGGAGAATGTTTGGAGATACATATAATTAATACATCCAAGAATGATAGCATTAGCAGTACAGAATATATAATAAGATGTAAACAAATACTCTAGTTCTTCTAATATCAAGTTAAGGATCAAAGTTGGGTACGAATGGTTATAGTATAGTAGTTTTTCCATATTGATTGACATCATAAAATCAAATCGTATTTCTGGTGACTACCATAGTCTTGGACACAATCATGCAAAATTTTAAATCAAATTATCACATCATTATTAAGCTGATGAATATAGGAACAAAAATCAGAGACTTTAAGAATTAAATAAGGAATGTGTTTAGAATAGAGTTGCAAGAGAAAACAAATGAGAAGAAGGTTTTCGAGAAGTGAAAGCTCCAAGAGGAAAGGGACAAAAGAGAGCATAAGTGCATGTGATGTTCCATCTCACTCACTGCCAACCCCAAATGGGTTCACATTTCCAATCTTTGCTTTATTCTCCATCGTCTCTTTCCTTACATTATCTTTGCTTTTCCTTACTTTTAAAATAAAATAATAGAATTAGATCTTAAGTCTCTGTATCGAAACTAAACATATCAAATCTTACTACATGCATATTTTCAATTTCTTTATTGCACTTCAAGTATACTATTGCGAAAACTCATTCAATGTATATTATATATCATGGGACAACCATACACCATAATCACTTGGCCAAAGATAAACGTTATAAAGTATTTTAAAAGAGGCCATCCACTGCCTCCCTCGATGCTGTATTATTCATAAAATAATTTACCGTTTGTTTGTTTAACTGATGGTAAATATGAAATAATTATTTACATTAAAAGTTTTAAAAGATAATGGATTTAAATGACACCAGCGGAACAAACGGTGTAAAACGTTAGTTTGTAAAACTCTAAAAACGTGGTTGGTGTACGACGCTACGACATATACAACGATTTGTTCTCTATGAACATAACAACAATCAGTTGGTGATTAAGGTGTGTAATAAGACTCTGATACTAAGTTAGCTTTTATGGGTTTTCAACTCAAAACTAATTTCCAATATATGAATTTGTCGATGTTACTTATATATATCCAGTCTCTTGGATATAATTGTATGTACGTATGTGTGAATTTTCATCTACAATGATGTGGATATAATTGTAAGTACGTATGTGTGAATATACATCTACAATGATGCATGTGGGAGGCAGATTGGAACTAAAAAAGCAAAAGCAAAAGCATTAGCATAGGGAAACTAACGAGTTTTGTAGAACTTCAAAGGATTTTATATTCTCTACTAAATAAAATATGTTTATCTATATTTACGTTCTAAGCTGCATGGAAACGGAAACGGAAACGTGGAAGCGAAACATTTCGGAAACGGGAAACGCTATTTTAGAAAAATATAAGAATGGAAACGTTTTGGAAACGTATGCATATATACAGAATTTTATATATATATATATTATAGTTTTTATGGATATATATTTTATTAAGTAAAAACTATTAAATAAATCACGTTGGCGTAGTGGTTAGAGTTGTGACGATAATTCAAGCTGTCAATAGTTCGAATCGTGGAATGTCCACATTTTGGTCGTTTTCAGTATTTAATAACTAAAGGATATAATTGTAATTTCCATAATGTCTTTTTCCCCGACTCTTTTCTCCAGAATGTCCACATTTTGTTCGTTTTCAGTATTTAATAACTAAAGGATATAATTGTAATTTCCATAATGTCTTCTTCCCCCACTCTTTTCTCCACCTTCTGCAACCCTAATTTGGCCGCCACCATCAACAATTTTCGCATCATGCATCATTTTTTCTGCGTTTTTAGTAGTTTTCTTCATAGATTTGTGAATCTAACAAATATTGATCTATCACAAACTAAAATATCGAATAAAACTCAAGTTCTTCAAAAAGTTTCGATTTGTTTGTTGATCTAAGGCTTGGCGGCTGCAGAGACCAGATTTTCGAGCAGAACAAAAACAAGTTTCCGTCGCGTTTCCGTTTTGGAATCGGACGCTTCCACCACGTTTCCAAATGGAGAATTTCAAGAAACGCGTTTCCATCGCGATTCCGTTTCTGAAACGTTTCGAAACGCGAAACGCAGTCATGAGAGTTTCCGTGCAACGTAGCTTACGTTACACTGCCAAAATTCCAGTCTTTATTTAATTTATTATTATTTCATTTTTCTTTTGTCAGAAAGCAAACACATTTTCTATTCCCCTGAGTTTCGTTCTATTATCTCGAATGTCGATGTTACTTTGTCTTCTCCAGATTGCTCTTTTTCTTGTAATATTTGCTTTTGCCAAAGGAGCTAATTAAAATGTTTTTTTTTCTTTGTTGTTTTCTTCGACAGTGTTCCGCACAGTTTGATTGGCAGTTGTTTTCGATTCTTTTCCATCACAATCAATATTAAAGGCAAGCGTATTCAGTTTATTATACAAAAATAAAAAGAAAAGAGAATGTTTAGTTTTGTTTCTATCCAAGAACTTGCGAATACAAGACAAAGAAAGGAATGATGTTGTGTATAGTTTTAGATGGTTATAAGGTTAAGCAAAGAAGGAAACTATTTTTAATTAAAAAAAGGGAGGGAACTTTTCATATACTTTCAAACAACCCCAAGTTGGAAAAATAGTATATACAAACAAAAGTAACAAACAAAAAAAAAGCTCAAGATAATTAAGAAAAATTGACCAAAAAATAAATTATCGTTCTACAAATTTGATCGGTAACAATATTGAGGAAAAATGTAAAATCGATAAAAAGAAAAAAAGATGTTACCTAAGTTTTCGCCATTGTTCATCTTCACTTTGCTTTAATTGTTTTATTTTATCTATAAAATAATAACAGTCGGATTAAATACGATATTAATCTCAAAACTTGTCAAACATAATGTTTCTAATAATCTAAAGTGTTCATAGTGGTCAATTTAATAATCTCTTGATACAAGAAGCTTGTGTTGTAAGACAATAATTTAAAATATGTAAAACAACAGCAACACACTGCAATATTTGTACACAAGTTTGAGACAAAGAAGACACAGACTTTGCAAAGAAGACAATCTTGTCATAACTTGCTAGGGATCACGCTGCGGTTAAGCTTGGTCGGCTTTACAAACATCTCTTGAGTCTCTGATATGAACTTGGCGAACTGAGATCCTTTCTTTTGTTTCTCATTGCCATCTTTGAATATCTTAGGCAGATTTGGTAGAGACTGCTCAGTGTTTGGCTTAGGCTTTGGTGACAGCGATGGCATCAAAGCCCATATCGATGAGAGTTCTTCGTTTGGCTGATCAAGTGTTTGAAGGATCTCCACGTTCTGCATATCTGTTTTACGATCGAAAAAGCAAACAGTTATTTTTAACCCATCTAACTCTATTTCTTGCTCTCTTAACCAAAACAAACCAACAAGATTAGACTTAAACCTTCTGCAAACTTGAAGATTGGTGCTAAGATTGCACACGGAATGCTGAAGTTGAGATGCGGTATTACTGTCCCTGCTCCATGTCTTGCGTTGCTGCAGGTACAAAAGCAATAAACAAGAGGAGACTAGTTTAGAGACAAGCATACATGAATGATTAATCAACCACAATTCCGGATTAAAGAAGACTTCAATGATGTATTAGCTCTAAGAGACCAACAAACTGTGTTTGGGGGGATGATTTTAATTTACCTGGTAACAAGTCCTATCATATGGCCACTTGAATTGACAACAGCACCACCACTACCACCTGGATGCACAGCAGCTGTTGTTTCGAGCATAGCAGGGAACTCTGTGGCATCTTGCAACATTCTCATCTTTGTGTGAACTACCTTTGATACAACTCCGGTGCAGATAGAAGGAGAAAGCCCTAATAGCGAAACAGAAATGTTAAAGTTAACACAAGAGTAGAGTAAAGAAGATATTTTCTTTCATCCATGCAAGACTATGGAAGCACAAAAGTTTATCAAAATTCAGATTTAACAAGATAATATTGAGATGAGCTTACCACATCTTGGTCCGAAGAGTCCATGTCCAATAACATGAGCCGATGAACCCAACGGAGGAGAAGAATAATTGGCAGCAATAGGTTGGAGCCTTCCGGGGACATATTCTAGCTGCAGTAAGGCAACATCCAATTGTTCCTTGCAAATATAGACCACTTTAGCTGGACACCAAGAATCTTGGTGATACAATCTTACACGTATGTCTCTATGCCCAGTCCTAAGGAAATTGTGTTTGATGTTTTTCTCTCCAAGAGATGTTTGACTCTCCTCGGCACCTAAGACATATGGTTCTAAACCGTTGTCCTTGTCACCATATACACCACCTTTTCCAAACCTCCACGGCTCAAGCAGGTGAGCATTTGTAAGTATAAGACCATGTTCGTTAAGAACCACACCGGATGCCCAGACACCATCGTCGACCGTGATAAGACAAATCGATTCCATTGCCTTCTGAACAGCCACTTGTACAGGAATACTAGCATCTGTCTTAATCCTCAAAGCTTCACTTCCTCCACCAGATGGCTCTTCAAGCAGCAAGTGGCTGCAAGCAGTTGTGATTGCTCCCCACGGAACCACCAGCTGCTACCGAAGGCTACAGTTTTGCATGAAACATTACAATAAAACTTCAATGACTACAAATGAAATGAAGCAGGCGATGACAAACCTGAATTTCAACGCCACTGTTCTTTTGCCTCAGAGGTCTAATCAAAATGCCAATGAAGTGCCCATTCTTATCAAACACTGGAGCCCCTTCCATTCCTGTAAGAAGTTGAAAACCGAAACGGAACAAGCTTTAGCTAATTAAGAAGAAGAAGAAAAAATAAAGCATATATAAGAACTACTGAGAAGTGTACACACACCAGGGAGACATCGAACATCAGCCATCATCAATGACTTCTTTAGAGACCCAGAAGGATAGCAGTTGGCAATGGAACCAGTTGATACACTGTTTAGATTACCGAAGTTAAAATGCTGACACTATCAAGAAATGGAAACTACAATGATCTCCAATCAACAAAAATGCATAAAATGCTAATCTAGCCATTATTCACCTGTTAAAGAAGTGTACAGGTGAAAGGATTCCAAAAGGAGAGCCAAGTGTTACAAGTGTATCACCTTTACTACTTGCAGAAGCGAAATTAATGTTTGGCTGACCCTAATTCACAGAAGAAAAAAACAGTCTTAAATGGTTAGACATAAATGAAATACAAATTAGAAACAAGAAAGAAGGAAAAACAGAGAAATGGTTACCAATAAACTTAAGGAGACTCCTAGAAGAGCCATTCGAGTGGCAGACTTGGCCATAAAACTAGCTTTGAGTGGCTCATTAAGTTGCATCAAAGGCTTGCTGAAATGTTCAACCTGGAAGAGTTGTAGAAAACTGGAACTCATAAGTATACAGAACTTTTTACAAGAACGCATAACCTATACTATTGACTCAAGTAAGTACATGCAAAAGTTCAAATGAACAAAAGAGCATTACTGGTTTGCTTTTGACTTACATTAATTGAAGGCTGAGAACCATTATCAGCAGAGACCAAAGACCAACCAACATCCCATCCTGAATCTTTTGAACCCGAGGAAGCATTTACAATAAGAGACTCGAGTGCAGCAGATGATACAGGGACATCAACCTTGTAACATATAATAGTCAAATCAGTAATCTTGCTATATTTTGTTTACTTGTAATAGCAAGAAAGACTCGGACTTTCACACATACCAGCGAAAGGAGTTGCGCAGGAACCCAAAAAGGATCTTCCTTTTCCGAGTTTAGCTGACCCTGGAACCAAAGTAGCATATCTATATCAATACCCTGAAATCCCCAAACAGCTTACCATTCAACAATAAGCTATTCTATCCACATATACCTCCACCATAACCTCAATCCGAGCACCAGGAATCAACTTCACCGGATCCTTAAACAAAAAAAAAGACACCAAGAATAAGATTGAGACTGACGTAGCCAAAAAAAGTGTATTAGTCATTCTGAAGTCGAACCTGAGAGAGACTAGTTCTATGAGCCATAGTTAAGAATGGTTCTACAAGAGATGCAACAGTCAAAACCAGAGCCACGTCCTGGTCCTCAGCCATAAGCTTAGCCGCCGCAACTTCACCGCTCAAGACGCTTCTAGGAAACAACATCCCAGAAGCTGAGAGTGTTGTATTGCCAGAACTTGAGCAAACACAAAAATTTCAGTAACATTGGATTGCACTCAATAAAGAAACAAAATTTGCAGTATTAGAATTTATGCTCACTGGTATTGATGGAAAGCATGTGTCCTCATCTTCAATCCCTTTGGATCCTATATATTAAACACAGAATCATCGACACCAAATATGATTCACACTCGAAATCAGAGACATGTATGGATAGATACGGAATTGGGTGAGAGGGGAAATCGCTTACAGGGCCTTCGACTTTGACCAAGACGGCGAAATTCCGGGAAAAGCTAACGACTTTCGACATATCCATGATCGAAAGAGAAAGGGCTTTCTTCAATCTGAAGATGGGAAGATTGGATTTTTTTTTGTGGCAGACGAAGTAAAACGAAGTCACCGAAATTGCTCTGTGTTTTGATTTTTGTTTGATCTGTCTGCTTTCTCCAAGGAAAACGGCGGCTACCGTTTAGTTACGCCATCAGAAGCAGACGCCATTACGTTTATTGGGGACAGTTGTTGTTTATTCCGATAATTGCATTTTTGTGAGTGGAAAAATTGGCTATTTTTGAACATAGTTTTGGTTGGTGGATAAAGTAGCGAACACCTCATTTCGTGAAGTTGCTTTAATATAAAACGAATTATTATTTGGGTTCTCTTATTTTTTCTTAGTTTCGGTATTCCAAAATTTAATAAGTTTTGGTTACTGAGTTTGAGTATTTTGAAAATTTCAATGATTTTTTGTTTTTTTTTAATAATTTTTCCCTGTCAAATTTGGTTAGAAAAGAAGGATATATAGAAGTCAAAACAATAAATCACGAATGCATGAACCAAATCACAAATTCAAAGAAAATAAACTATTTCTTAAATTAGAGTTTCCATTTGAATTATGAAATAAAAGCTGAATTAGACAGAAATGTTGTTGGCTCATTAGGGTCAAAACTATATAAGTATAATATTAAATAATATATGGTAATATTATTATTAAAAAAAAGTATATCTAATAATATTAGATTGTTGGAGTATTAAATATGAGCTATATACCTGTTGGTCAAAAAAAAAATATGAGCTATATTAAAAGAGAAAAGACAAACAAAGCCCACTCAATAACACCAACAATGTAAATTTTGGCATGATATTCGCCGACTCAAACAGCCCTTACTTTCTTTTCCTTTTTTGGGGTCAACACAGCCTTTACTAGAACGAACTTATACAGACTTATGACTATTGTTGGCAAATGTATAGTAAGCTTATGATTAGTATATTGCAATATCGTGTTTAAAAGGTAAAAACAAAATTTTATATTTTGTAATTTTCTTTAAAAACAATTTAACAAAAACCGGAAACGGCATCAGAAAATTATTAGGGTTTAAATGGTGACATCGAACGCCGAAAAATCTAGGAAGCAATTGTATTGGCATTGAACCTACAGGTATGTTGTTGGTACCGGAAAAATTTATCCATATGTTGAATGCAATCATATAATGTTTTCCGTTTTCCTTTGCTCTTGTTTATTGTTTAATAACAGAATCCAATCGAAACTCATTTTCCATTGACGACGAGAAAATACAGTAAACCGATTGTTTTTTTCTTATGTGTTTTTTTGTTTCGTCGCATGTACTAGTATTTTTCATGTGTTTCTCTTTTACTTATCGACTAGATTTTAACCTGCACACCCGTACGGGAAAAGTGTTTTTTTTTTGTAGATTTGATTATGTAGAATTCGAAATGTGAAATTACGCCTGAGATTTAATTTTAGATTTAGTTTTATAGCATAGATCTGGTTCACTAGATCTGCATCCAATTTAGAGTGCACTTTCAGTTTTTTTGGTTTATTATTTACGATTTTAATGGATAGTATATGAATGTCTTGTGTAAATGCATTGTCGCTATCTGTTTTAGTTTTTGTGGTTTGAATTTGATATCACTAAGTCAAGATATAAATCAAGTTTCCTGATTTTGGGATAGATTGTTTTTATATGTTATGTCTTATTGGAGTCTAAAATAAAATTCCATGATATGTGATTCAAGCATCCAAGTTATGCATTGTCTTGTTTGTATCGTTTGATTTATTTGCAACAAGTAATTATACTCACATCGTTCCATTTTGCAGACTAATGGCCACGAAGGATCCATTATACACTCGCAAGCAAGTGGAATGTCCAATCTGTTTAGGTACTTTGAGTAATTTTGTTCTAAGCTATTTGTTGCATATATAACACATCCATGGCCAAATTCTTATTAGTTGACATATCTAAATAAGGTGATTTTTTGGTTAAAACCACCAAATTGAATTCCTTGAGAAAATCGTCGTTTTAACTAATGAATGTCAACCAAAAAATATAATTTAAGGGATTATAATTTTTTGTGTGGAAATTGGTATATCTCCGTATAAAACGCCAAGAAAGCCTAGTTTATATAATTTTGTTACTTGTGGAGCTAGCATTTGTGTTGTCAGCCAAATTTAATTGTACAATGTTTCCTCTTGACCATATCATTGAATATATATATATGCTTGGTGATATTTTTGATGAGATTGTGATGGCCTTTTGAGGCTATTAAGGGAACGTCTTACAATGATATGTGTTGATGTTTCCTCAGAAATCATTCGCAAGAGTGCTGTTACAAAATGCGGGCACCGTTTTTGCCAAGAATGCATCGAAAAATCCATGCGTCTTGGGTATATTTCTTAACAAGTTTTTTGCAACTTTTTCTTAGTTTGCTATACAAGTTTCGAAATATTTGATCCTCATATTTTTGGCTCTATCTTTTTTTTTTTTGAAGAAACCATTATTGTCCTACTTGTCGTGCCCACCATCCTAGTCGTCGCTCACTCAAAGCTGATGAAAAATTTGATAACATTATTGCAAATCTGTATCCGGATATTATTAACCAGTACGAAGACGAGGTAAACTATATACAGTATTATATGACTGATATGATATTATATGTCATTTTTTTCATCAATTCATCAAATTTATATATTTATAAAAAAAAAAATTGTTTTCGCAGGAGTTAGAGCTCAATGAAACAGAACAGATTCGTAACGAACAGGTTAGTTATCAAAAGTTTTCTTGATGGCCCATTTCACGATTATTACTTTGTTTTTTAGTTTCTAGAGTCTCTTGTTAAATGACTTGTTCACTTATTCACTTGATGATTTGGGACATGGCTTGTTCAAACAGGTCAAAGCCACTATACCCCAAACAGTTAAGCAACAATCTGAAGCAAGTAGCAGCAAACGGGTAACAACTGTGGAAACGCAAAGAGAAGAGGAAACCATCGTTGGACGCATTTCTTTGAAAGGAACAAGAAAAGATGGAGGACAAGAGTCTAGTGAAGTCAGACCACTAACTTCTCCTATAGTCAGAACCAAGAATCCGATAAAAAGAAGAAAAAGAGTTGAACTAGTAAGCTTATCTAAACTTTATGATACTCCTATCAACGTCCAAGCTACTCCTTTAAAAACCATAGAAGAGGTACAAATATGCGTCTCGAGCGAGAATGAAGAGACAGATTCATCTTCTGGTGATGACTGGTGTCCTTTAAGATGGAAGAAGAGAGCCACAGGAGCTAGTGCATCTGATAATCAGATTATCATCCAAGACTTGCAAAGTAGGCCTAACGTTCAAACACCTGCCTTGTCCAGCAAGGATAAAGGCAAAGCTCCTTGTTTTGCTGAAGTTAATTTACCACCCAAGCCTTGTGAAACTAAAAGCGTAGATGATAGTGATGCAAATGGTTTTAAAGAAATCAAAGTGGAATTCTTAAGGACCAACGAAACGGCTTTGGGGCTACCGGAGAGTCTAGAATGGGGAAGAAGCAGCATGCGTAGTAGTAATATGCGCAAAAAGAATGCAAGGAGAAACCGCATTGAACGGTTGGTGAATTATCTTCAGAATCACAAAACCACTCAAGATGAGGTATACAAATTCGTCTATATTATTTCTCACCTAATACATCAATTAATACATTTGCTCTTTTTATGGATTCTGTCTCAATATGTAGATGGGATATCCAAATCTCGCATGGTTCAGTGGATATGGAAAAGGTTAAAGTTGGAGAAGTCTCAACTAAGAGGAGCATGGATTGTTTGTTACTTTTATGAACTGGAGAGTTAAAAAAAAAATTGTTCCTTTTTTCGAGTGGATTATGAACTATTTCATATTGTTTGTAACTTTATTTTCCTCATAATTATCTTTTTTCTTGGATAAATGTGTTGTTCTTTTTCACTCAAAATTGTTTAGTTTCAGTTTGTTTTTTATAACAACATATAGTTTATGGAGTATAAATTTCTAAAGTTTCTACTGTATTTTCAAAGTTTAAATAGTTTTAAAAGATTTGGTTTTTGGTATTTTGGGAGCTCATCTATTGTGTGGTCTAAATGTTAATTAGGAGCTCAACTATGTTCATAATAGTTTGTTTTATTTATGCCACCTAACCGGAGAACGAAACAAGTTAAAAACAGAAAGAGGAGTCCTCGGCGCCGGTGAGGAACACAGGACGCTACAGAAACAACAACTGAAAAGGGTTATCTAACCGCAACTTGCAACTACACCAGTCCACAAGAAAAAGAAAAAAATCCAAAATAGTAGCATGCTACAACGCATTGCAAAGAGCCAAAGACAGAAGAGGAAGTTATGTACAAAAGAAAAGTTTCGTCGTCACTTTATACTTCCCTTTATCCATACTCTCATTCTCATATTACAGAATAAAAATAAAGTTAACAAGTAAAGAAAAGTAGCCAACCAGACACATGGTGGACGATGTAGACTCCATATATACATATGCAACATCAATCATTTGCCACTCTTCATCTTCTTTTTAACGGTGCTGGCTCCTTGAATCACCACCACTGTACAACCTGTCACATATGCGATTACTTAGTAAACTATAACTTCTGATCTTAACTCTCCGATTATAGATACTTAAAATAACAAAAAACATAATTTTTTTTGCGTCTTTGACTCTTTGATTATCAAGTTAGAGTTCATGATTATACCATACGCACAAAAATGAAGGAGGTTGATTTGGTTAAACAGAATAATCTTTTTTGTATTCATTTAATCCACGCGCCCACTAAACACAGTGCCACGTGTTCCTTCCTTTGTGCTTCGTTATCGTCGCTGACACATCAAAAATCAAAAACCGAACTAAGCAAACCAAACCGTTCCTAGATTCATCCGGTTCAGTATACAATTGGTTTCAGAAGTCATACACTCATACATCATCTTAAAAGGTGAGTCGATCAAATTACTTGTTGTTCCACTATCACATGTAAGATTTTAAAGTCTTATAATTTCATTAAAGATAAAAAATAATTAATGAACTCACCAGTCGTAGACGGATGGAGAGTTTGGGTGGTTGGGTTTATCGAAGATGTTGGAGCCGATGGCTCTTGTGGCGAGGTTGCTTCCCGGATTAAAGACGCTCCTCCAGACATTATCCTTACGTGGCGTCGTTGGAGTGGTTGGAGTTATCGGAGTCGTTGGAGTTCCGGGGCTCACTACCGGAGGCATAGTCAACGATCTATGCATCATCTTGCTGCTTCCTTCTCCTATATATTTTCATAATTACATCACACACTCTAAGTAATATTTCTTTGTCTCTAAGACTCTAACTAATCTAACAAGTAATAACAAAGGGTTTAAGATATATATGTGTACCTCTGATATTAATGGGTTGGGTGGTGATCTTACGGAGGCGGCCAAGGCCACGGTCAGGCTGAGGTCCAGCCACCACATCATCCCAAAGTTTCTCTAGCAGAACCATCTTTTTATTTGTTTAACTTCGCTTTCTTTTCTTGGCTGCTCTTTAAGTAAATTTGTAGAGAAGGATGTGAAGAGTGAAACGCTTTTGGTGGTGGTGCATAACCTTTATAGCCGCCTCCTGAAAAATATCTCGCTTTTTTATTTATTGTATATCTATTAAAAATGTTTTGTGTTTTCACTGCTGCAATTTAAAAAGTTTGGTCACTTTAATATACTCATATTATTCGTTTATTTTTAACTATCACACCCAATTTTGTATTTTAAAACCGAATTTTCACTAGATCAATATGTAACTATTTATTATAATCAGAATCTTTTCAGTTGAAATTTGTACTAATTTGTGAGATCTGTGTAAATGTTAACATTTTATATTATTATTTTAGACACTAAAGTTTTGAACCGTGATTATCAATTTTACATTAACATTTAATTAGATTAAAACAATCATGTAAATATTCGTAGAATTGTTTTGTAACAGTTCTCATATTTGTGTAATCGATTAATTAATTCAGTGTTAAAAAAAAACAATCATGTAAATAGTGATTGATAATAACAAATTTAGTAAGAGGGAAACAAATTTCCGTAAGGAGTGTAATAAGTAATTCACATAAATATTTGTAGTAAAAAAAAAAAAAGTATGAAAATAGTATTTTAGGACAAAAGACAAGGAGTGGAAGGAGTGTGCAAATAGAAAAGTGCAAGGTGGAGTATGATGGAGATACAGATAAGGATGATGAGTCATGAAATGTGACATACTAAACTAAAGTATCCTATGACTCGAGATCCGTGAAAATATCACAAGGTAACTTGTTTTCTTATTTCTCAAAAAAATGGTACTTATTGAAGCTTCATCACATACTAAAACTCATCACAGGGAGATGAGATGGTGCATAGAAAGCTACTCAGATCTGACTAATAATCTTGTTGTCACATATTTGAAATGTCAACAAGATAAGAAATTTCATCTTTAATTGGGAAAAGAAGACACGAATCTAGAATCCATCATTCACAAATGTCCAAAACCATGGGAAGTTGTCTCGACATGGGCAGTCATATTGTATTGGGACACATAGTGAAAGTGAAAAGATAGCGAGTGCGGGCGACACGTGGGCCGTCAGAAGTTGCCATCACATGACTCTTTTAGCCAAAAATAAATGAGTATTCTAATTTCTATCTCACTACCAAAACAGAATCTTACGCATTTCCTATACAAAACTAACATCAAGGAAAGATATTTAAAGGAGGATCCAGATTCTTCCACATCGTGATCAAAGATTTTGTTAGGTTTAGAGCGACTTCAGAAGCTGGCTGTTGACTTAGGAAGCTAATGGTTTGAAATAAGGTTATTAACTTATCAAGGCCAAAATTTTCATACCCCAACTCATGAAAAACTGTGTGTTTTATTTCACCAATTAGGTTTTAGGAAAATGGACTTCTAAACCCAAGCCCAAGCATTGTTATTTTAGTTACAACAGCCCATTTTGTTGTTAAGCTTTGTAAATTAACGAAACCTACATAATAATAACTGATTCTTCTATTCAACAAAAAAATCTAATGTTATGTTTGGGAACTGGAGACTTTTACTTGAAGAAGTATCAAAAAATATAAAGAGGGTCTCGTCAAACAGGCTTGACGAGACAAAGCACGAGAACAAAAAAATGAAATAGTGGGTGTTATTGCTAAGAGTAATTGTCCAGAATTTTGGATCCCTTTCTAAAAACAGGGGGCTTCATTATATACTGATGAGAAGTCATTTATTTGAGGAGTTTGAGGCTGAAGACGGGTCAGACTTTTGTGATGTTACTAATTGTGATGGAGAAATGTGCTAATTTTACCTCTTAACATTTACATTGAGCTTTTGATCATTGTTGCATTGTGTTTACATTGCCGAAAACCTCATAACATATATTTTGCCCTAATGGGAAGATGGCAAACATATGAATAATTCATGAAGATTTCGAAAGAACGTTGGTATAATTCACATGCTAATAGTCTTGAATCTTGAATATATATGTGACCGGAGTTTATAGGATCTCTAATTTAATTTGTTCGCAGACAAGTTTAAATATGAGTTATATCTTCTTCTTTTTTGAATTTTGTATGAGTTATGTCTTGTGTATCATATCTTTAAAGAAATGGTCAAGTGAGGTCCTCGATCGAATTTTCGGCAATATCAAATCACGGGTTTCCAACTGTTGAAAAAATAATGAGTATGGCCATATATAGTCACACTATCAAAAGTAGTTCTTGGTTATAACCTTTTTCTAAAGTTGGGTTTATATAAAAGCTTATTTTCTTTGCTAACAGTTACTTTGATTTTAAATTCAACGTAATATAAGGTTTGAGTAATAATTCGATTGTATTATGAAACTGAACGGTTTAGTTGCACAAAAAGTGAGTAGTGTATAGCTTAAGAATGCTTTCCATTGTAGTAAAGTTTTTCAAAAGTGATACAGTATAAGAAGGTCCGACGACTCCAATGGGAAGTGCCTTTAATGGTACCACCCGATGATTGCGCATCAATTAAAGTGATTATAAAGTCAAACTACCCGAACCAATATAGATTACGTGCATTTTCAGCCGTCCGATGACCCCCGAGACCGGGAATGTTCGTCACGTGCCTTTTAGGTTGTCGGTCCACCAACATCTTTATCGTTATTATTTAGAAACAAAACCGTTTTAAACCAGTACTTTAGTTATTGCAAAATCACGGATTTGGTCTATAATTAACAAGTAACTACAACAACTACAAATAACGACCTCCACCAACTCCACAATTCCGGAGCTTTATACAAATGGGTACACCTTTCAATACAGCTAATAGATTATAGATACTAATATAGTATACTACAAGTCTACAAAAGTGTAAATACATTGCAATCATTTTCCATTATGCTAAAACTTACTTATAATTTCTTTCATTTTGTTGTGTGTAAGTGAATACTTAATATGTAGAAGTGTGAGCTCGAATCATCGGTTAAACTTGGCTTACAAGTTACAAACATTAAACCAACATATTAAGAGTGGACCATAGCTTGTTTTCTACCGGTTTAATTATGTGTTGCAACAAGAAACATAAACATGCACGTTTTTACAAAGTTGTGTTCATATGGTAAGCCTGTGAGAGTTGTATCTTCATTGTAAACCTCCAGACTCCAGATTATGGATCTTTCGATGAATGTATTATACTTTTGAGATAAAGAATTACTAAATCATAATATGACATAGACGTATGATCAAATAATCAAATTATAAACTATAAACTATATGTTTTAATATGACCGAGACGTTGGATTATAATAAATGATTGATATCAACTCGTAAACTTTGTGGGTCATCATTCTTCTTCTTCTTCTTCCTCTCTATGTTTTTATTTCTTCCCTCTATTCTTGCGTTTTCCGATCGTGTGTTCTTGGAGCGCAACGGCGACTGGTTCTAGTGTGGAATAAATTTTTAAAAAAAGGGTTCGAAGAAAGATTCTTGCATAAATAAAAAGTGTAAAACAAAATGTAAAAATGTAAGAAAGTTTCTTACAAAATGTTTAAAAAGTGGAGAAACTAATTTAAATTATGTTCTGTTGTTAAATTTTAAAATTGGATCATATATTGAGATGGAGTTAGAGAATTAACTTCATATGGTATAGGTAAACAAAATCCGAAAGAAGCTGTTACGCATGTGAACTATGACCTTTCCAGGGCCTTTGAACTCAATCCAACGGTAAATATAATGATATAATCCATTACAGCACATATCAGCCGTCGGATGATAGCTCTTCAATAAACTTACGTGCACATCAAACACTTGATTAAGCTCTATATTCTTGATCCAGAAGAAAAAGAAAAAATAAAGAGGTGGGAGCATTTAATTTAATTTAATATTCACTACCGTAACTTTTTTACCTGCACTCACGTCCCTGGCTCTCTCTCTCTCTCTCTCTCTCTCTCTCCGCGTAGTCTTCCCTCACTCTACAGAAAAGGAAAGATAAACAAAACAAACAAACAAACGAACAAAAAACAAAGCTGTGCAATGGAGAAATGAGACTTTTGAAAGATTCGTTATAGAGGAGCAGAGAAGTTAAGATTCTGAAAAAGATCAAAAGATGCTTCGATTGAATCTCCCATGTCTTCTCATTTTCCTTCTTGGTCTCTCCTCTTCCTCGGCTCGACCAGGTTCGATTCTCCTTTCCAGATGTTGAGCTTTCAGTTTTTTCTTGATTTAGCAACTTTCTTGTTTTTTCCTCCAAGTTGCAAGAAATGGTCTCTTCTCTGATTCCAAATCTTGATTTGCATAATTGCGTTTTCACTTGGATTCCATTAGTTTACTTCTCTGTCCTTGTTTGTATCGCTTTTACCTGATCAATACTTTGTCAATTGGATTCAGAGATTGTCAATTTACAGTCTCTCGAGCTCAAATCATTCGAAATCTTGAATTCTTGATTTTCACTTTCGGAAAATCAAGAACTCGAGATTTTTCCTTAAAACACTTATTGGCGGCTTAACTAGTTTAAGATGTGGAGTCAATTTTCAACATCTGCGTGAATTTTAACGAACACTCGTACGACTTTTCTTAGATTGCTCTGTTTCTTGATGATGTTATCTTGCAATTTTGGCAGCACCATATGCGTTGAGGATCAGCTGTGGAGCTCGGAAAAACGTTAGAACGCCACCAACGTACGCACTTTGGTACAAAGACATCGCGTACACAGGAGGAGTACCAGCGAACGCATCATCACCTGGTTACATAACTCCTCCATTGAAGACGCTTCGCTACTTCCCAATCTCTGAAGGTCCAAACAACTGTTACAACATAGTCCGAGTGCCAAAGGGACATTACACAGTGAGGATCTTCTTTGGAGTGGTGAACCTACCTAACTTCGACAAAGAGCCTCTCTTTGACATATCCATCGAAGGAACTCAAATCTCTTCTCTTAAATCCGGTTGGAGTAGTAACGATGACCAAGTCTTTGCAGAAGCACTCATCTTTCTTTTGGGTGGGACTTCTACAATCTGCTTCCACAGCACTGGCCATGGAGATCCGGCGATTCTTTCTATAGAGATTCTTCAGGTTGATGATAAAGCTTACAACTTTGGTGAAGGTTGGGGCCAAGGAATGATTCTAAGAACAGCCAGGAGGTTGACTTGTGGCACAGGGAAGCCTAGGTTTGATGAAGACTATAGTGGTGACCGTTGGGGTGGTGATAGGTTTTGGATGCCAATGAGATCTTTTGGTAAGAGTGCTGATTCTCCAAGATCAACTGAGAACACCATCAAGCAAGCCTCTGTGTCTCCAAATTTTTATCCTGAGGCATTGTATCAGTCAGGTTTGGTTAGTACTGATGACCAGCCGGATTTGACTTTTAGTATGGATGTGGAACCGAACAGAAACTATTCGGTTTGGTTGCATTTTGCTGAGATTGATGCTTCAGTCACTGCTGAAGGGAAGAGAGTGTTTGATGTTGTGATCAATGGTGATACTTTCTTTGAAGATGTTGATATTATAAAGATGAGTGGTGGCAGATACACAGCGCTTGTTCTCAATGCAACGGTTACTGTGAGTGGGAGAACCTTGACAGTTGTTCTACAGCCTAAGTCTGGTGGTCATGCTCTTGTTAACGCCATTGAGGTGTTTGAAATCATAACCGCTGAGTTCAAAACTTTACGTGATGAAGGTATGTAGATTCTTGATTCACATATGTGGTCTGTATGTAGATTCTTGTTCATATCAGAGAGGTGATTGTTTGTTTGCTTTGTGTTTTTCAGTTAGTGCGTTACAGAAAATGAGAAAAGCTTTGGGACTTCCTTCAAGGTTTGGATGGAATGGTGATCCGTGTGTTCCTCCACAACATCCATGGAGCGGAGCTGATTGTCAGCTTGACAAGAACACCAGCAGATGGTTCATTGATGGACTGTATGATTGCCTCTATAGTTCCATTTTAGAATTGAATTCTATGGCAAAAATGATTAAGTCCTAAACACATATATTCAAGAACTCTTTCTTTTCTTGTTTTTTTTTGCAGTGATCTGGATAACCAAGGTCTCAAAGGTTTCTTACCAAACGACATATCCAAGCTAAAACATCTTCAGAGCATGTAAGCCAATACATTCTCATTTCTCATAATCTTCAAATGTTTATCCAAGTCTCCATGAATATTGTGAACCAACACTTTTTTAATCTTCTCCGAGTAAAGTGGCTCATCTAGTCCATTTTTTCTTGTGGTGTCATTAGCTTTTCTTCCTGGATTTGTGTTACCGTTTTCATTAGCTTCTTGATGAAAGTCATGTCCATGTTACAGAAACTTGAGTCAAAACAACATTCGTGGAGGAATACCTGCATCACTTGGAAGCATTACAAGCTTGGAAGTTTTGTAAGTAATCAATTTACCTTTCTTAATTGAGAAATTTTCTGTGATGATAACTTCTTGATCCTGAAACCTTTATGCTGTCTTTGTCAGGGACCTCTCATACAATTCTTTCAATGGATCTATCCCTGAAACCTTAGGAGAGTTAACATCCCTGCGGATTCTGTAAGAAGATCATGTTTCTTGTAAATTCTCACTGGCCAATAAAGCTCATATGAACAAGAATATAAAAAAGAAAACCTTCTTGGCAGGAATCTCAATGGAAACTCGTTGTCAGGGAAAGTACCAGCAGCTGTTGGTGGAAGGCTGTTGCACAGAGCAAGCTTCAAGTAAAGACTACTGAATCAGAAACAAGTTTTTGTTCAAGAAATATTTGGATTTCCTTTACTTATAACTGTTATCTCTGTCTCTGCAGCTTCACAGATAATGCAGGTCTTTGTGGAATCCCGGGGCTTCATGCTTGCGGGCCACACCTTTCTTCTGGAGCCAAGATTGGGATTGCATTCGGTGTTAGTCTCGCATTCTTACTGATCGTTGCATGTGCAATGATTTGGTGGAAAAGAAGACAGAACATTCTTAGGGCACAGCAGATTGCATGTAAAGGAAAACATTTCTTCTTTGATTTGAGGTTTAACAGTATAAAGTCTCTGATGAGCTTGCTTTTCTGTAACGTGTTGCAGCAAGAGGAGCTCCTTATGCGAAGAAGAGGACGCATTTGTCTCATGACATTCAAATGACACGGAACGGGAACAATAACCACGGCCAAGCTCGTACTGCTGTCGAAAATGGACCGAGCTTGTTGTCCTGATTCCTCTTCTCCTCTCTGGTTATTTTCAGCAAACACGAGCCCCAAACTTGCAAAAGGTCAAAATGTTCATCTGCATTGCTTCACAGAGAGAAACAGAGCAAGAGAAAGAGAAGAGAGACCTTTCCTCACTCTTGGGTCAGTGCAAAGAGGAAATACATTTGTAAATCGTCTTGGTTTCTTCTTCTTGATTATCTCTCAAGAAGCCAAAAAAGTTCTCATAGATATTAGGACTTTTTTTCTTGTTTATGTTATGGGATTAGTCATTTGTTTTCTTGTCTGCAGAGAGTTTAGAGGAAACTAGAACATAAATCACATTTGACTATACTATTACACAAGTAGTGGTTGTTAAACCAAACCTGTCAAGAATCAGCTTTGTTGATGACTTAATGGATACATCATACACCTCCTAAAAGGCTAAAACCAAATCAACCGATCTTAAAACAGATTTCACGACTAAAACAGTAAAGCCCAACTAGACCCAATAAAGGCCCAGTCCGAGATCTAATCACATCAGCGATCGAGAACAAGAGAGATTACTATGTCTACGTTACTACCTTAACCTTCTATGCAAGATCTGATTAAAATATAACAGATTTTGGGACATCTCGAAATGACGCAGCCGGAAAACTCTAGGAATAGCAAGCACTAAATCTAGATTGAATTCAAGTTCACAAACATGAATTTGAAGAGAAAACTCTAGAAATCCACCAGATTAGAGAAAAGTTATTTACTTTGATTGAATTAGAATAATAAGATATGATATGCCTCATGGCTATAACTTAAAACTGTTAGATAATAAAATAAAACCCTGTAAAATATCCAAAACCGAAAAGAAAAAATATAATTAGAGAAAAATGAAATTTGTTAAAATCTCCTAAATATCTTCTATATCACAAAACCTAGTCTGTTTAACCACATGATGTCTCTACAGTCAGCTAGATAAGCCAGATATGGTGCACAAGATTATAAGGGAAATGGATAAGAACAATATAGAGAGAGCAGGCTTTGAGCCCAAGCAAAATAAGCTTGGGCAAAAAAAAGTTATACAGATTTTGACAATTAATTTTGCAAAAAAGTGTTATTAGAAAGAATGGAATGGTTATCACTGGTTTTACTTAGTTTAGAGATTTATTTTTTCTAGGTTGTGGCCTCTAGATTCTCAGAATATAGAGTCGGACAATCTCACGCTAAACATTAAGTTGCGGTTTTGGGCAGCTGAATCCAATATCAAAACAATGGAGAAACAATTACAATGCGCACAAGCTGTGAGATGATGGCAAAGGCTTGCTTGATCTCACACTGATTGTCGTGAGTTTTAATTTCTTCTTCAATATCAGGCAAAATTAAATAATTAAAAAAAAAACATTTCTGTTCAATTGTTAAAGCGATCAAAGTGACGTGGCGCATAGTAAAGAGCCAATAGTAAAATGTAAAAAAATTATGATAGAGTAACCATGAAAAAAAGATAGAAAAGACAGAGAGTAGAGAAAATAACAAAAACCAATACACTAGTAAAAAAAGAGGCGCGAAAGTCAGATCAGGTGTGGGACGGTTCATGGAATGAGAGCAAAACACGTAAGCATCAGAGGCATCGTAATATTCGTGATTTCGTGTGTTGTGTTGTGTAATAAAAAAACAAGTCTGTTTCTGTAGGCAGTCAGCACTTGATGGTCATTTGTCTTCTCTCTCCCTGCGAGAGCTGTAACAGAGACACGTCACAAAGCTCATCACACAGGGTCACGTGAACACGAAAGCCAAAAACACATTTTTCTTTAAAATACTATTTCTTGAAAATGATCATTTTTGTAGCTTTGGGATATTTTTTACTGATAAGGTTAATAAAGTAATAATAATAGTGATACTAGTAGTCTGTCAAAAGTCAGGACATCAGAGTTCGCACGTGTATAAATTTTGTTAGATATGGACCAAAGCATTTGTTCAATCAAAACGACAGAGGTAAAGCCTTGTCACGTGAAAGGAAACACAATTGGCGCGTGCTTCTCACCGCCCAATTCTCCTCTCTTCTCTTAAATTTTTACTATTTTGTTTTTACAAAACACACCTCTTAACGTCTCCTTCTGCATTTTAGTATTTTGATCTTTACGTTTGTTTTTGAAACTCAAATTTAAACAAAAGAAGTGTAATTGTGTAAAGAAGTAATTTTCGTTTCAAAATTGTACGCTGCTACTTCAAACGTTTTAAAGAATTTGGTTTACAATTAACTATCTAGAGAGTAGAATAACTAGGCATTGCGTATTTTTATCCCTTTGGTCAGCCGTTACATCAAATGGGCTAATTATTTTTGGACAAAAAGAAAAACAAAATCAGTCAGAACCTATACACTACATAGATAGAGTAGTTGTGGCAAGCTCCTTTATTTAATGAATCTCCTTGTAGGCTCTCGTCCTCGTGCATCATAATCACATCATAAATATGGCTGCCAATAAAATAAAATATGAGTAAATTCAGATCATAAAAGTAAGTCGAAAAATAGAGAGATGGCTAAAGCAGTAGGGTATTATTACGTCATCGTCCATGTTTTTTCTTATGCACAGGTCCAGTCAAAGAGGCGGCCCGTTTTTATTTCTTTTGCTTCTTTGTAAAAATATACTACTCCAAACCTGTTAAGAATCTCATTTCATTTGAGTAACACATTTCATTTTCTTTGATACCCTTTTGGTTCTGATTGCTGTGTTACGATCAACAATGTAACTTGATTTGGAGTTTATTATGTTTACCTATATAACTTTCACTATTTTTTTCTGAAATGATTACGTTTGGCCTTATATAAATATAATAACAAAGATAAAAAAAGAAAAAAAAATTAAGGAAAAAAAAACTGTACAAAAACGAATGTGATATGAAAAGAGTTCAGCAGTTCACTATAACCAGATTATTCTGAAATGGCTGATTATTAAAGCTTTGTTGAAAGCGGAAAACCATTTTTTCCTAACAAACACGTCTAGTGCCACCGTCAAAATTGTAACAGGAAAATAAAATATCTCATTGTAAAACCACATTACTTTTCAATGCAAACAATTTATTATTTAAACGATATATTTTGGTGTAGAACAAGTGAACAACAGAGTCCACACGTGTAACAATCTTTCAGCATACTACAGTCACATCGCCAAATTTAACATAGCAAAAGATCGAACGGTGCTTGATTCTTCGATACCCCAGAGAAAACCGCGATCCTAGCTAGAAGAAATCAACAAAATGAATTTACTTGGAAAACAAATGCAGTAGTATCACTTAACAAAAAAAATAAAAATAGAAAGATGGTAATAATCGTCAAGAAGCCGAGGATTACGGGTGTTTCAACTGGGCCCACAGACACTTCTTCCCCTTTAAACTCTCTCTCATTTGGGTCAAACAAGTCAACAAAGCAAAACCTCTTTCTTCTCTCCTTTACTCTCTCTCTAAAATATCTGAGATTCTTGAACAATGGCGTCGACGACTTGCGCAAGGGAGGTGCATTACAGAGGAGTAAGAAAGAGACCGTGGGGTCGTTACGCGGCGGAGATAAGAGATCCTTGGAAGAAAACTAGGGTTTGGTTAGGTACTTTCGACACTCCTGAAGAAGCAGCTCTCGCTTACGACGGCGCCGCCCGTTTCCTCCGTGGTATCAAAGCCAAGACTAACTTTCCTTCTCCTCTCTCCCTCGACCTCAACCACCTTCCTTCCGTTCCCTCCTCCGCCGCCGCCCCCGCCGTAAATAACCATCACCAACACCATCAACAACACCTCTGGTTCTCCGCCGCTCCTCCTCCTCCTCCACCAATCTCCGACCACCACCACCACCATCACCGGCTCTTTCTTCGAACCGATGTGCTCAACGACAAAACCTCCGATATCTCCCGGCCTACTGAAGCGCCGCTTTACTTCACCGCCTTACCTCCTGCTGCCACTTCATCTCCCGCTGCTCAAGTTTTTGGATTTCCGATGATGAGTTCTTCTCCTCCCTCGTCGACGGTGAGACGTGGCTTAGCCATTGACCTCAACGAGCCGCCGCCGCTTTGGTTGTAAAACGGAAGATACAGACAACGGCGCCGTTTTGCGGACTGTTCTACACGGCGCCGTTTTCAAACACTTTTCGTTTTAATTAATTGTTTACTAAAACGTTTGTTTAGATTAGAATGAGAGTAGTTTTCTTTTCAATTTGTCCTTTTCTATGTTTTATAAGAGACGGAGTGTGTTTGTTATGACCCATGTTGCGGAAAAACCTATAAACTTCTTAATTAGAAAGTAGCATTTTGTAGTCATTATTTTGTTCCAAATAATTATTTGAAAAATCGATCTTAAGAAAATATCATTTGATGATGTTGTGGATTGTTACGACCGTCGCTTATGTCGGTTTCGAGGGGTTTTGAAATCTTATCGTATTCCTTAGCGTGTCGTGAAGTACGGACTGACTTGTGTAGCTCTTTACTGTGCGTCTTGTTTGACTCACGCGCGCTCTCGAACACGACAAAAGACTGAGAAAGAAAGAAACAGACAAAAGAGATAGAGACTAGTGAGAGAAAAAAAACAGAGCAAGCGTGTGAGTTTGGACTGCCATTTTCACTTGTGGACAATAAATGCATTATTTCAGTCTCAGTTTGTATGTAGTTTCATTTATTTATGGACAGAATTTCATATTACTATACGATTCCGAACTGTTCATGTTTCTGCATATAGAGCAGTAATTAATTAGAGAACATTATATGCTCGTTACTGATAAGAACACAATTTATCGCTAGTGTCTTTTTTTGTTTTTTTTAATACTTTGTCTTTCGTTCTTGAAATCTATGGATAGCGCAAAATGGTGAATGAATGAGTTTTTTTTTGGTAAAAGGTAAATGAATTAGTTATGTTTGCTTTAAGAGAATCATACATATAAGAAAATCTATGTTTGGGGTTTCATAATGTATATATGTGATTTGTAAGCGAATCCGTGTAGTTTATGTAAGAGTTAAACATATTTTAGTCGTTTGTAAAAAGAATCAAATTTAGTATCTTTTAATTTTAGAAAATGTATTAACATTATATATCAAGAAAAATAGCCAAAAACTTCATTGTTAACTATTTTGTATATTTTTGTCGTTATAGTTATGTTATATAAAGATATTCGTAGCACGTTGTATAATTTCAAATCTAAACATATGCTATGCATGTGTTTCTGCAGTGACAATTTATCAACCAAATTTCCATTTTGGCTCTTATGGAGACCCCACTCGCCGTCGCCTGGCATCGCTTGTGTTGTAAAGAAAACAATTTTTTTTTCCTTTCCTTGACGGCGAAATGCAATTATAATAACTTAATAAGTTCTTAACTTTAGGTTTAACTTCATTAGTTGTTTATTATAGGCTAATTGTTTAGTTTGGTCCTTCTCTTGTGAGTCTCCTGTCGTTTTGAGTCTTTTGACCTTTGTCTCTTATCTAGTATATAGGCTGCTACTGTCTCTCCACTATCTATCTCCTTGAAGTTATTTTTTTCATAAACCTAACTACCTAAGGTTTATTTAATTATTTGACAACGAAAAGGTGTATTTAATTAATTACAATTTCGTTGGTGTAAAATAAAATTAGTTACAATTTAGAAATGTTATACACTTTTACTTGAAAGTGTGGCGGCAGTGGCAGACCATCATTTTTTGAGGATTGTGTAATCATGCTTTTTGCGTGTAATAAAACAATTGGTTCGAAGTTACATCCAAAAGGAGTCCCAACAAACACAGACGGTGGTTTTGGGAAATTTGGTTTCCGGTTTAACTTTGAAGCCTAGGTTATTTTAGTGTGAATATTGCTTGGAATGCTTATATGCTTGGGCCAAAAGATTGGATGGGCTGTTCAACATTTGAGGTCCAAGTTCAGCTTGTGTTAATCCTGTCTGTTTTGGTTATTTCTCCCGTAGCAGAACAAGTCTTGACAAAGTAGTATCAAAATTAAACAGTCGGTGAGGACTGAGGAGGCTCCAAGCCTCCAAATTAAGCATTGCTCGGTGGTTTGCGGGTTGCCCGCCTATTCCCCCCCCCAAACTAAAATGTTTCCATCGTGATCCACACGGACTTTTGAGCCCCTTTTATTTCCCCCCAAACTTATAATCTCTGTCGGTTCCCCCATTTGCGTTTTAAAAAACAAAATCCAGTTTTCGGAACAGTGATTGCCCGTTTTAACTCAATTGACCCGGGTTTTAAAACGCAAACCCGCGGTTTGTCTAACAAATCAGACCCGATTACATCTAACCCTAACCCGCAACCTTTTTCCCAAAAAATTAAAATCGATTTGGGGAAATCGAAAGGGGATTAGGGTTCGTCGATTTGGGGAAATCAAAAGGGGATAGATTCGGGGTTAAATCCTCTGTTCGGTGTCTCCCCGTACACTGATCTTCTGTTGGTCAGACGAGATGAAGCTGAAGATGAACTACTCATTGTTTTGTTCCCTATTCGAAAAAGAAACCAGCAACAATGATGACAATCACTTGAACCAAAAAACGAAATCACCCAAGAATTCGACAAAGAAACCAATTCGGAATTATAGTTAGCTTACCTTCCTGTCTCTGTCGGAATAAAAGATGTCTAATTCTCCTCTCCATGGAACAATATTCAACCCCAGAATCGACGAACCCTAATCCCCTTTCGATTTCCCCAAATCGATTTTAATTTTTTGGAAAAAGGTTGCGGGTTAGGGTTAGATGTAATCGGGTCTGATTTGTTAGACAAACCGCGGGTTTGCGTTTTAAAACCCGGGTCAATTGAGTTAAAACGGGCAATCACTGTTCCGAAAACTGGATTTTGTTTTTTAAAACGCAAATGGGGGAACCGACAGAGATTATAAGTTTGGGGGGAAATAAAAGGGGCTCAAAAGTCTGTGTGGATCACGATGGAAACATTTTAGTTGGGGGGGAATAGGCGGGCAACCCGTGGTTTGCAATTAAATAAATAGCATTTTACTAGGTCTATGACACAATCAAATAAAAACTGCCAATGAGTTGACAAACTGTCGGTAAGGATTGATGTCTTGATCGATCTAAGCATTTACGCAGATGCATTTTTATTGCTTAACTATAAATGAACGTCATTGCTCCAGTTTGCAGTTTTAAAGTGTTAATATAACACGCAAGTGTTTGATGAAGCGGAAGCAAACGAACCGCTTGGGACATGCCAACTCGACCATAACAATTATTTTAGTAATTCCGCCGCATCAGTGTTATATTGTAAGAACGTCTAAACGCTTACGCTTAAATGTTTGTATTTTAATACAAGTTTTAGAGAAATAAAAAGAAATACATTTCATTTCATGGAATATTAGTTCTAAACTTAATATTTCTTTCGTTTCTTTTTACTTGTTGTTCTAGAAGATTACACGTAGATTAATAAAACAGATTAAAAACTCTATTATACCCTTGAAAAGAAAATTGACTATTATTATTCTTCATTAGATCAAGGTTAAACAAGATATTTAATACTAAATTTTGCACTGAAAAATGAGAATCACAATTATTTTAAAACAAAAAATTAGGCTAGAACGACAAGTATATATATATTTGGGTTCATTAATCCTTAATCCTTAATCCTTGGTAAGGGTACCAAATTAATGAAATGATTTTACTATCACAAACAACAATTACTCAAATCCAAATCATGTCAATGCAATATTTGAGATATCAATCCAATCATAAATGTATAATACTCTCTAGCACGATGTAGAGGCTAAACAAAGCAAGCCAAATGATTAAAGATATAATGTAACAAGACTAACAACGTAATGCAATTCCTACCAAAAAAAAAAAACAACGTAATGCAATGAAATAGGAATCAATGAAATAGGAAGCAATACAATAAGTAAAAACAGTGGTGAATGCAGTGAACAAGATAGAGCTTGGGATTAAGCAACATCAAATGCATAGCAGCGAATGTAAATGGACTCAACCGAGCTAAACTTAATACAGAACAGAAACAGAATAAAAACAAAATAAAAGCAGAGCGATGCAACTAAACGGAGTAATGCAAAAATAAGATTGTGAGTAAATGTAAATCTACAAATTAGATGGGTAACAATATTTTAATAAAAAACAATAATCCTAGTAATTTCTGATGAAGCAGAAGTGCAGAACCTCCAAATCTAACCAGCTCAAATCACATATGCTCTTTAAGCCTAATGCTCTTCTAATTGCTTTGCCAATTAAGGCCATAGTCTATGCAGTTTCATTAATCCTCTCAATTTGACAAAGCTAAATCTTTTTCATCTTTATTCACAATCGTCAAAAGACATTTTCCGTTTTGTTAAATTACTAATTGTATTCAAATCTCATTGATGCATGATTAATTTTTTTCATTGAAAATCAACTAAAAAATCTTTAAAATTTTGTCTTAAAATAATGGAGTTAGTTAAATAAGTGTCTTTTCCGTTACTGTTGTGGAACGAAACCTTATTTTTCCAGTTTAAGAAACTAGGTTTATTTTAACTTGAAATCATTTTTATCTTATGTCTTTTTGAATTAAGAATTAAATAATTTTTGAATAAACTAGGAATTAAATAATTTATAAAAGCTAAAATAATTTACATGTCCTCCAATATATTAAAGATCATACAGATTTGCTGACATGGCAAGCTCTCATTTTTTTGAGCTTCTTTTTGATTTATTTTAATAAACTAATTTTAACTGGAGCTGACCCGAGACCCATTTACAAAACACGCGGACCCTTAATCAACTTCTTCTTTGATTTATTGTGTTTGGTTATTGGGCTATTGGGCTAATTGGAGCCGATAACAGAACAAAGTTGGGCCGTAGACCGTTTCAATCGAATAAGGTAACTATCTTTTTTACATATTATTTAATATATTGGAGGATAACAATACTTCCATGCAAGATTATTGCTTATTCTTCAAGGTCACGTTTTCCTTTTCCGTATGCAATTAAATAATTAGCATATCAAATTCACATCTTGATTTCTTAAATTACATTCTTAATAACATTGTTTTCCCGAAACCAGAAATTATGATATTCTCATTATTTTACTATTAATTAAACGTTGCCATGTCTGGGATTGCAAATATTCTATGCGTGGCTAAACCTAGACTGTAGTACAATACCCATTTCACTATTTAAGCGACCCCTTCCCCATTCTCGAATCTCACCATCTCTTCCAAGATCTCCACTATAGTTTTTTCTTACATTTGTCTTATTTTCAGCAATGACTTCAATTGTTGATGTCTACTCTTGCAAGTCGTTCAAATCCCAGTGGAAGATCCGTGTGAAGATCTTGAAGAAATGGAAGCAGTACTTGAATGGTGTTGAGACCATGGAGATGATTGTCGTCGATGATAAGGTATATTTTAATATTATTTCTTATCATCAATTATTTCTGCTAATTAGCTATATTTTAAATCTGTTTTAGTTAAGCTAATATGATACAATTTTAAAGATTATATTTTGAGTGTAGATTTGATTTGAGGTACCTGTCATGCTTACTAATAGCCAGGAAAATCCTGACACTTTTGCAACACCTTCATTTAAACGCAAAGAAGAAGTTGGAGATGCACTTGACCTGCAATCCAAATCAAAGAAGTTTTGCACACCGTCAAAATAAAATTGCAAAAGACTATGGAAGAGGAGTCTAAGAAGACTAAGTCGTTGGAGGAGGAGATTAAAAAGAAGGCCACAAAAATCAAGACAACTGAAGTGAGCGACAAGGCATGTTTAGTTAAATTTAGTTTAATTTAGAACAATGGTTGTATCTAATAGAACTACTTTAGGATCATTTCATTTCTTTCATAAGAAAGTGTTTTCAATTTTTTAGGCTAAAGGTTTGTTTATTGGAAAGTCATATGAATATTTCAGAAAAGTATGCCAATTTCTCATGTATGAAAGCAATAGAATCCAAAACCTAAGATCCAAATGTTCCACCTGTGGAGCTACTTCAGTATTCTCTTCTACGTTGTTGATCAAAGGCATTGATCCAAAAGCTTCAAAACTTACAAAATTTAATAATGAAACACTATATAAGACTTAATCAAGAACACCAGAATAATTCTTTTAAATTATTGATTCAACAAAGTTGTTTTTTGGTTTAGAGAAGAGACAAGAACAAACAAGTATGATTTCTAGGTGATATCAAATAGCAAAGAAGCAAATAAGTAGAATATGGTTTCGATCATCTTCTGTTTTTGAAACCTAAAAGGAACTAGGAATTCAAATTCAAAAGAATGAGTCGCTGAAATATTTTACGTAAAGATGCGCTGATTCTGTAGGCATCAAGAATTCATACATAAGCCCCATCATCATTTCAAATTCGAATCCCATGAGAAGCTGCATAAATCGAAAGCAAAGTTTGAAGTTCGCTTGAGAAATTGATGAAGAAACTGGTGGTTCTGCTTTTGATTTGCTAAGAACATCCTATATAAGAACATCCCGTTCTCAGACCGGCACCTATTTGATTTCACCGATTTCTTTCAATATGTGGACACCTTTTGCGTAACTATTCCAAGAATCAGTCACAGTGATGAAGGTTATACGTTTAACAAGTGTCATGTTCTTTGTTCAATTATTCTAACGAAATTCTCTTATTGTCAAAGAGGGTAAATGTGGTTCATTAGAGCTTTCTTATGAAACTTAACATTTCACATCTTCAACGTTTTCATTTTATTAAAAGGTTTGTTTCTTTTCAGTTTCATCATAAAGGTGACAACGGAGTACAGGAAAAAAAGAAAACGGTGTTCTTTGCTTTTATTCATTTTACATTTGAAGTAAATGCAAGCAATAGAGACGTTGCAGCCGGCGATAGCTCCGCTGTTCATAGCCAAAGAACTAAGGGATAATTTTCGGAAAGCATGAGTTATAGCAGCCATATGTCGAAGGAGTACTAAGAGATTTCAGGACGGCTTTGTGGGCTTTCTGGACGAAAGAAGATGAGATAAAGATGAAGAAAATATATATTAGGAATAGGGTTCAAGCTTAGATGGATCGTGTTAAAGAAGAGATTAAGCTTCTCCCTTTGATTTGTTAGATATGTTGTGCTTTTAGGACGAAAGAAGAAGATATCAAGATGACGAACATGTATATTAGGAATAGGGTTCAAGTTCAGTTCTGGTGTGGAAGAAGAGATTAAGCTTCAAGCTTTGATTTTTGAGAATTGTGCTTACATTTTGATTTCTTTTATTGAAAAAGCGAGAAGAACTCAAATTAATCTCCTAGGAAAGTTTTAGTCTTTTAGATATGTTGAATTCTCCCGCAGGCCACAACCTTGCCCTTTCTTATATACGTGTGCCTCAAGTAAGTCCCACATCTTACTTTCTTGCTCTCAAAACAAGAAGGCCTAAGCTAAATGTAATAATTTCAAACTAATAGAAAAAATAACTCATGCATGGTCATTTAGATTTAGTTAAATATCTTTTGAACAAATGTATTTTGAAAATAGAAAACAACTTTTATATAGTACACATAAATAAATAACCAAATATCTATCAATTATTAAAAAAAAAAACACTACAATATTAATAATCGAGACAATATGCTTGTTATTGTATTAAAAATATTTATATGAATTGATAAAGAAACAAAAATATTAATCTAAAAATAATATAGAAAATGACATATCCACTTGATAATAATTTATTTTAAATATAAAATGTTTTAAAGTTAACTCAATCCCACGCATTAGGCGTGGGTAATCCCCTAGTTTGTGTCAAAACACATTCTTTCCTAAAATATTTTATGAAAACTCATTTCCTTCTTCTCCTAAAATATTTTACGAGATTCTTTTTTCTCTTCTCAATCACCATTTTCACTTACTTCACTGGGAGAACACAAAGAGAATTGGCTCCACCAATGAGAATACCAAAGAGTTTCACGTAACTATCTTAGTTACTTTACTAAAATAAAAGGAGTTCTAAATTCTAAATTAGAGAATGAATACGTGATAAATTGTAGCACAAAACATCATGCAAAAAAAATTGGTTTCTTTAAACATCATGCATAATAGAACTTAAAAGTTGTTCTGATGATCATGAATCACTGGATACTCTCTAGGTTTCAGAAAACTATGATTATCATCTCTATCACTGGAATTAGGGCTGCCGGCTCTCAGCCTCCCAAACAAAACTATTTCTGTCCGGATCCACCCGTTCTTTTTGGTTTCGTCTATCACCACCCAGTGTTTCCAATTGCTGTCACTTACCCCATATCGACTAAGTCGCGTTTAAAACACTAAAATCACGATTTAGAAACAGTGATTGCCCAGCTTAGACCCGAATTACACAATGTTTTAACACCTAAACCCGACTCATGCTCTTCTTTGTTAAACCCGACACGAGAAACACTTCTCTCACATTCAAAACTGAAATTGTAATCAATTTGGAGAAGAAATTAGATTTAGGGTTCTTACTTTCTGGAAATCATCAAGTTTCAATAGAGTTCGAAAGAGGATAGTTGTTCTTTAGAAAAGACATTAAGCAAGGTAAGAGATGAAAATTTTGTAGAATGGGCAGTTCATCTTCGTTTACAATTTCGTTTAAGAACTGGTCTTTACAATTTCGGTTTTGCTCGGTCATTGGTAATTTGTGTACAAATTGTGGATATTAGGGGACTGAGCACTTCATGTAACATCCATAAACCAAAAATAAAAATTGGGAATTTTGTCGGTTCAATTTAAGTGAATTGGTTTGGGTCGGTTTAGTGGAGAAAGCCCTAAAATCAAGTTTAAAGAGTGCAGCCGTCTTCTCTTTGGAGAATTTTCGAGTTCAGATGCTGTAGAGGAGAAAAGTTGAGTTTTTGGAGAGATTTTCGAATTTTACTGTTCATCGGTACTGTTCACGGGTTACTGTTCATCCGCGATTCGGCACTGTTCATCGTCCTTCCTTTTTCCTTCAGTTTCAATCAATTGTCAAGGTGAGTGCATGACTGTGGGTCCGTGATTTGCTAGATTAGATTTGGTTTGTGGTTGTTCTTGATGAGTTTATGTTTTTAATTGTTATTTTTATGATATTTTGGTTGTTCATGTGATGAATTGTGTGTTTGTGTGGTTTAATCTGGTTTATTGGTTTAATTGAATTTAATTGGTTTAATGGAATTAAATAGATTTAATTCGGATTTAATTAATTAAATAATATTTATTTAATTAATTGGTATTATTTTAATTATTTTAAAATATGGAAAATTATTATTTAATTATGAGAATTATTTAATAATTGAGAAATTGAGTTTTAATTATTAAAAGTTATTTAATAATTGGAAAATGGTATTTAATAATTATTGAAGTTTATAAATATTATTAAATATCTAGTAAATTGCGTAAATGGCTCGTAGGCAGAGTGATTGCCTCACTAAGTATTTATTAAATACTTACGCAACTCCATTCCAATGTGTTGCAGGTAAAAGATTTGTGTGATCGCGGAATCAAGGCTGAAGAGGGGGATGATAGGATGTTTACTGTTTTATTGTTTTGCATTATTTTGCTAGACTTGTTTAATTATTATTTGCTTCCGCTGAGCTGATTTATTTGTTATTGATATTTTATTTATTTAATTTATTTTTAAGACCTTCGCTAGAACTGATTAATATTTATTAAAAAAAAAAATGTTGGTTGTTTCACTTCATCTTCTGCCTCTTCTTCGTTAACAATCCAAAGATTAGTCAATGGTGTCCCAATTGATTTCTGCCTCTTCTCACTTTCTTTTTGACTTCCATTCTCAGCTTGTTGAATAAAGACATCAATTTCACCTACTCTTAACATAGTTTCTGCACACATTCGCATCAGTTCTGCATCAGAGCTTACGTAAGGAATACTCTTCAAAAAATATATGAGTATTCAGCAATCGAATTCAGAAGCAACATGAGCAAAATTATCACAGAATTTAGCAATGCGTGAAAATCAAGCAGAATCCTGAGCAATATAGTATAAAACAAGACAAAACATAAATCTCACATACTCTAAACAGATGATTCCATAAATCAACGAAAACGAAACCCATACCTCATCGAAAAAAGAAACAAATGAAACTTTTCTTCTATTTTCGATTAACAAAACCCAGAAATGAAAGATATTTTTGTTTTCCCCAAATCAATTTTGGTGTTAAGAACCCTAGATCCCTAAATCAATTACAATTTCAATTTAGAATGTGAGATAAGTGTTTCTCGTGTCGGGTTTAACAGGGAAGAGGATGGGTCGGGTTTAGGGTTTAGGTGTTAAAACATGGTGTAATTCGGGTCTAAGTTGAGCAATCATATTTTAGTGTTTTAAACGCCATTTAATCGATATGGGGTAAGCGACAGCAATCGGAAACACTTGGTGGTGATAGACGGAGCCAAAAAGAACAGGTGGATCCCGACATAAACAGTTTTGTTTGGGGGGCTGAGAGCCACCAGCAGCCCCTGGAATTATGTGGTTTTTCATTCAAATTTATGTTTCCTCTACTTCTTCATACTTCAACAAACTAGTTTTGAATACCATAATGGGGTTGAGTACGATTTATAGATTAGGTAAACTAAATTCGATTTTTAGACGGGTAAATTTTGGCTTCTAGATTAGATCAGTCAGAATATGTCTAATATGAGGTTGATTCAAAAATAGATTAGGTAGAAAAACTTATGTATTAGAAAAATTAATATACTAGATAAGCCATAATATGCCTGCTACACAAGGTAAATTTGACATCTAAATTAGCCTAATTAGGTAGAAAATATTTCATATTGGACCAACCATAATATGTTTACTACATGAGAGTAGATTTGACTTCTGGATTAAGCAAGACGAAAAATTGTTGATATGCAAAAGAACAAAAGATCACTTAGATAGCCCCTTTATTATTTTGAGGCAGCATTCTATTTTGTGACAAATAATCGTATTCTCCTATATAAAGTACTTTATTTTCTCTTGTTTAGGCCAAACAACATAAATGTTGACTTTCCTTAAAAACCGATTGGATCGATAAAGAGTATCTTTGAAAAAAATACCAACTACTAATTAGCGCGTCTTCAAAAAGATTGATGCCAAAACAAAGTATGATTTTGTTAATCAGAAGATTAAAAAAGAAGAGTTACAACTGATAATTAGCAAACATCAGACCGGAACAAAACGTTCACAAACCCTAAAATTCATTTTTAACTTTCTGCTGACCAAAATAAAAATACGACAGACTTCTAGTTCATCAAATACTAGAGATCAGAACATTTAATTCATCTAAAAATTAAATTAAAAATCCCATAAAAATTACTTCTCAGGCTTTGGAGGGAAATTGAGATCCAAATCCAAGAAAACGCGTCCACGTCTCTCATGGTTAAGATCCATCACGACCGACGACGATTCTGATTCACTCTTGACGGATTCGTCGTCGAGCATGATCATCCCCGACCTGACCAGAATCTTCGGGAAAGGGAACCTTGAATTGATGGACTCGAGATTGAGATCGGGGACCATCGAGGACTCGACGGTGCTGCTCGGGCTCGGGCTGTCGCTGTCGAAGGAAGGAGGAGGAAAATTGGTCTTGGCCTTTGCGCCACGAAACTCGATAGCAGCTTTGTCGTAGGCACGAGCCGCCTCTTCGGGAGTGTCGAAAGTGCCGAGCCAGACTCGAGCCTTCTTCGATGGATCTCTGATCTCGGCGGCGTAACGACCCCATGGCCTCTTCCTCACTCCTCTGAAACGGGTTTGTTTGAGACCGCCGTCGCCGCCGTTTGTTTTAACGGCCGCCGTCTTAACTGTCGGCGCCATAGAAACCAAGAAAATATTGTTTTTCAGGTTTAAGAATAAAAGAAGAAATGTGAGAGAGGAGGTTTGTGTTGTGAAGTTGTTGTAAGAAAAAGAGTTTATAAAGACAGAGAGAGACGAAGAGACAAAAACAGTCAACCGCGGTTTTGACTAAATGGGGGCGGCTGAGTGGCAGTGTTGGTAATTATATCCAATTACGTGGCATGTTTCTTTTGTCTCCACGACACGGACGTAGAAAATGAGTGAAAATAGGCTCTTAATTTTTATTTTGCTTTTGCTATTTATTGGTTTTTTTAATTAATGTGTGATCTTTTTTGAGTGATTTATTATAGATTTTGTTTTGCCTGCGTGGTTTGCAAAATCAGAGGACCCCACGCGCTTATTTGGTACGTGTCGTATTGATGAGAAACATTTTGGCAATTTATTTTTCTTTCCTCTATTATTTGGTTAGCAAAGTATAATGCAAAAGCACAAACAGCCACTACGTGCCATATGACTCTGATTTTCCTTGATGAAGTGGGAGAATCACACTATACTTATCCTTTTGTAATTAAAGAAAATGCAATTTGTTACTAAAACCTGTGATATTTTAGTAGATTATATAATCTAAAGAGTAATGTAAAGATTTACCATTAACTTAATATTATCTACATAATTAGTTAATTTCAATGGAAACAATTATCTTTTGAGTTTTTTTATTATATTGCTTGTAATCATGTCATGAGTTTTCTTAAATTACCTTTCGTTTTGGAATTCTTATTAATTTTATAAATAATAAGAAAACTCTCAAAAATTGAACTTTATGGAAATGAAACCTCACTAGTTTTGTTAGTCTATATACTTAGAGGGAACATTAAAGTAAAATTGACTGTTTATTGCCGAGTCAAAAATTAAAAATGTTAAAAAGTTAACCTTCTCCGTTTCATTTTAGTTGTTATTTTATATCTTTTCACAAAGATAAAGAAAATAATTAAATTGTTTGTTTTATTCCTGATTAATATAGTATTTTGTTTTATATGAATAATTTAATAAGGTTAAAAATTAGGATAAATTTGTAAAAATTTGCATTAAATTTTGCATTGAAAACTGAAATTAAACTAATTTGAAAGGAGTATTGTACGATATAGATCATATGTGTAATACGATAACTTAATTCTCATATATAGACATGTAGATTTCCCTCTAAATATTTTGTTTAGCCAGAATAGTATGTGTAATACTTTATCTATTTTGAAAATCACATTTTTTTAAAAAATATAACCGGTGTCGACAGCACCCAAAAAATAATCAAACACAAGAAGAATATGATCAATAAAATCAGCGCATAATAAAAATTAGTAATATTTTATATATATTCCTATTTTAGTTAGGATTATGGTTTTTGGAGGGCTTTATTTAAATGCCATGGCTTCTCAAAAAAAAAAACTGACAACATTCCAATTCTGATGTCTTTGATTCGTGTTTTACCTGGCCATAATTTGAAGATGATAATCCATTTTGTTACTAATATCTTTTTCTTTTTTTGTTCGTGTTCTCTATGTCGCTTTGATTGTGTTTTCTCTCAAATAAAGATTAAATAACTAGAGATGTCAAACGGGCCAACTTGCACCCAAACGGGTCAATCCGCCGCGGTTTCACTTTGTCAGCGGAGCAGGCGGGTCGGACCGCTGCAGGCCACGGTCTCTAAAAGCTTGGCCCTAACCCACACCACTTGGTATTGGCGGTTATGCAGGTCAGCCCGCGGACTTAACTATTTCAGTTTTGGTTTGCTTCATTTGAGTTATTCACTTACTTTTTATTACTGTCTGGAGCCAAAAAGATGTGCAGATGAATATATAAGATGCTTCCTTTGATACCATTTTGGATTTTGTTGTTAATTATTATATGGATGAAGATGAGTGCTATGTGTTAGCTTGGTTGTATTTAAACCACATAGAATTGTAAATTCTGTTTCTTTACTGTTTTTGATTGTCTTTGAAAAGCATATACTGAAGATACAAAATCTGTCTTTGAGAAGTAGAAGATATAGAAATGCAACAGAACCAAGCTATTGAAAATTCTGATGCAGAGATACAATGAGTCATGACATTATAATCATGAGAAAACTAAAACACATATCACATAATCGTGAGTCAAAACTAAAGCACAAACTAACTCACTCATGACATCATAATCAAAAACTGAAATCTTCATTGTGTAACACAAAGCATTATTCAAACAATCAAACCAAAAGGAAAAACAGAGATCAATAGCAAAGTAAAAAAATTGTTAACATAAATATGAGAAGCAACAAAAGTAATATGAAATCTTATTCAAACCAAAACTCTAAACTAAAAAAAGTTTGTAATTTGAGAACAAAGTCGAACACCAAACATGTCTCTTCCCCAACTTTCATTTGCTCTTCACCAGCACAAGTCCAAACTGAAACAGAAAACATTGACATGTATATTTAAAAGCCAAGAGATAATTTTCTGTACAGTCAAAGGGATTTCGCTAATAACACAAGCAATGATGAAACCAAACCAAATCTACAAGACAACAATGCAGTCAAGTTTGAGTTCTTCTTCTAAGTGGTCAAGCAAACTTCCGAGAGAACATAGTAATCAAACATGTCTACTTTTCCTGGATTTCACAAGATCAAACATAAGAAACTAAAGAAAGACAACAAAACAGACCTGCATTTGTGATGATCAGCTAAGCTCAGTAGCTTCAGCTTCGGTATTTGTCTCATCTTCTTCCACCAAGTTTTCAGCCTTCCTCTGCATTTGTGTGAAAGAGAAAGTTAAATGGAATATTAACATGGCATAAGACAATGTTGTATCTAGGCTTTGTTGTTTACCGTTCTCATAAGCTTCAAAACCCTTGAGCCAATTCCGACTGCATATCAAAGCTTGAACGTTTTTGGGAAGTAAGCGGCTTCGGTATTTGTTCAAAACTCGCCCTCCGATGCTAAAAGAAGACTCCGAAGCTACTGTTGTGATAGGTATGCTAAGCACATCGCATGCCACAGAAGATAGCTCACCAAATCTTTTTGAGTTGTCTTTCCACCAATCTAGGAGGCTCTTAATATCGGTTGTATCAAGAGGCGGTTCATCGAGATAAATATCCAGAGAAGACTTTCCACTAACAGCAACATTTGACTTTCTAAAAGCGAAGAAATCCTGAAATGAACAACATAAAACAGAAAACACATCTGCCGACTGAGTAATGGGTTTTCTCTCAAATCTCCGATTAATCATGGGTTTCTCTTCAAGTCCTGGAATTTCAACGTTCAAGCTAGAGCTGCTGCAGAGAAGAACGTACACGATTTCACTGTAAAGGTCGGGTCTTGGTACGGCGAGGAAGGAGTCTTCTGTGGAGACGTCGGTTTGGTTCCGTCGATTGAAGAAGTGAATATCGTCAAGTGGAGTGAAAATCGTCGATTGGGAAGTTGGATGGAGCTCCTTAGCGAACTGAATGAAGCCTTGATTTCGGAATTCATTACGAACGAGGAACAAAGACGCAAGTAGAAACAAAATGATGATGTGCTGCAGAAGAAAACAGAGCTCCATCCATTCAGTCCTTTACTAACAAAAATGGCTTAAGTGGAGTGAAAATCGTCCATCCATTAAGCTCTGCATGCAGAACTTGGAACTCGGAAGTCAGAAGACTCGGAAGAGAAAGCTTTTTTTTTTTGCGGTGACCCGAAAACCCGCCCAACCGCCGCGGATATATCCGCCTAAACCGCAAGCCGAAATCGGGTTGGACCGCGAGGCCCGCTAATTTTGGGTTTGAAAATGCCGACCCGAACCCGCCCCGTAGCAAGCCTAAACGGGCCTAACCCGCGGGCCGCGGACCATGTTGACATCTCTATAAATAACGATGAAATGGTGTTAATTGCTCGTTGCTCTCTTTGGATTCGCATAAAAACATTGTAAAATGAGGTTGATCGGTCAAAAATCTTAACAGCCTGTTCATAAATGGATGGTTCGACATATATATATATATATGTATATATATATATATATATATATATATACTTCCCCAGCAAGACACCTAAAGTGAGTGATTTCCGATGATGGAGATTATTTGCTTTATTTTTTTTTTTTTTTTTTTTTTTTTTTGAATTGAATGTAAAATTATATTCAAACCCAAAAAAGACTTATATACATCAAGTGTTACTAGAGTTTGAGTTTTTGAAAAGAACAGCTAAAAAGAGAGATGATTTGAAACAAAATGCTTCTTGAGGAAATGGAGGTTAGGGTCGCGTAGCGAACCACAATTCTATGCCATCGTCGTATCTATGGTCTCCTCCAGTTTGAATCGTTGATAGCTGGTTTCTCACTTGCTTGTCAATGAAGGTAACAAGGCTAGAGGCTTGTTATGGATTATCCCCATGTCGTCTTGCGTTTGTTTATCTCCAAACACAATGAATGGTAGCTTGGAAAGCATACCTAGTGAGGAAGAGCATTGTACGTGGAAGGTGGTTTCCGGAGAGAGTTGAGACGAGAGTATCCCAATCTGCTGAGAAGCTTGACTGGAGTAGCTTCCTGGTAAGAGCTATCCAGACCTCCTTCGAAGGAGGTATAACTTTTAACCCTCGACTCATATTTGTTTTCCAAGTACCTGCCATTATCATTGCTTTCTTAGTCTATGCAGTCTTCCATGAGGTATGTGTACCTTCTGCATTGCCCTTTCTCTCTAGACACATGAACACTCTATTCTCAAGAGCATTGTTCTTAGTAAACAAATTTGGTGCACTAAAAAAATTGGATCATGTATCAATCATAGGCCCAGAAAGGGAGATTCCCCAAATTTCTCTCAACCCATGTTTGATACTCCTCATAAAAGGTGTAGACAACTCAATACATTTTCCTCTAAACTAAAAACCACATGTGGACCTTTTCATGGAATACCTTCAAGTGCACACTACAATCACCACCTCCATAACCCATAAAAGAGATTTTACCTTCGATTGATGTCACCGCCATAGGTAGAAGAGAGACATGATGGCGGTAGCGGTATGCGCGTGCTTGATCTCCACCACAGTCAATTACGGCAATAGTCGAAGTCCGATTTGTCAGGTTATGCCCGATCACATAGACTAAACTCCCCAATCGTTCTCTCTCCTTGGATAAGAGAGGCAATCGAAGATGAGCAATATTCGTACAATTTTTGAAAATTGGCAATCGCAAACTCTACTTGAATTAATTGTCAATTTGCCATAAACGAGTGAACCGATTGCCAATTTGCCATCATCATAATTATTATTTATTTTCGATTTTTTTTAAGTCCAAAACGTCAACAAATACAACAAAGCTCTTAAGAAATTGTATTATTTACACACCCAACCAGGTTTATATCCGATAATCCACGAACCCGACCCACCCAAATGGATATTAACTAAATCCCTAATTTTTACTGTTTTTTGTTTCTTTCTAATTTTCTCTTTCCTTCTTCGATGTTTTGTTTTCTTCGTCGGAGAGTGAAACTTTGAAATCGAAAGAGTGAAAGGAGGAAGAAGGAAGAGATTAATGAAGCGAGCGAGGAATCCAAAGGAATAGACGATTCGTCGCCGCGAATTTCAAGGTAATCGTTCCTTGATTAAGAATTTCTTCTTCTCCTCCGTCAGTTTCGAGTTCAGTCAATTTCTGTAATTGAATGAGTTTCTAATAGAGCGTTGTCGTGATTTGTAGCAGATAATGACTAAGATGAGAAACAATCCAACAGAAGCAGAAACCCAATTCAACAAAGAAGAAAATCTGAATTCTCCATAAAAAACCCAAACTCAAGAAAATATGAACTCAAATGAAGAGAAAGCAAATAACAACGAACGGAAAGATGAAGAAGAAGCGGAAGAGCATGAACAAGAGGCCATTCATTCGAATTTCTCTGGTTACGTAGAGGAAAAAAAGGTATTTATTGAATTTTGTTAAGTTCAACTGCGTTTGTTAAGTACAATTGTATAGTAATAGGTTCACTTAAGTACAACTGCGTAGTAATAGGTTCACTTAAGTAATTTGGTTTCTTTTGAATATGTAGGGCGAGGAGAATGATGGTGAGGATGATGGTCAATCTTCGGAACAAAGCCCATATGAACAAGCTCCTCAACCGGAACAAACCACACATGATCAAGCTATTCCTTTATAAGTGTCTCATTCTGCATCGTACCTGGTATTTTACACATGATCTTGTGTAAAAAATAAAATAGATGCTTACCTTTCTTAGATCTTTGTTGTTTCTTGTTGTTTTTGTCCAATTTGGGGAAAGAGGCATGGCTAATTGAAGCATGTTTAACCGTTGTTTTTTTTATGTTTTCTTGCTTGTTCTTAAAACATAGAGGGTTAAGAGAACAGAAAGGTGTAGTGAAAAACTTTATTAAGTAGTTTAGTGATGATTTCTCTCAAAATTCTCTTTGGTTGATTTTCTGACATTTAACAAGATGCAAAACCGTGGTGTTGATAGATGTGACAGGTCAAGAAAAGCATTGGAGTTCAAGACATGAAGAACAAGCTATCCTCTTCCATTGCTGAAGATTGAACTTGGAGAAATCTGTAGATCGATCTTTGTCTGTCTCACATATTTTTAACAAAGGAATCATTACTTTTCAATCTTTGTATAATCTTTGTACAAGGAACCATTACAACAATAACATTTAGGTATAATGTTTAGCAAGTACAATTGGGTCTCTTAAACTGTTTTGATACTAATAGATTATCTGGTACAACTAGTTCTCTTATAAACAATTAAACAATTTTAGTACAAATGGTACTATTAGGTACAACTAAGTATAAACAACTAAATATAATTTGTGGGGAGAAAAAACACGTGCACCATAAAAAAAACATGTGCGCCGTAAAAAAAAAACACGTGTCAAAAAACACGTGCGCCGTCAAGTACAACTAAGTACAATATAACATGTGGCGCCGTCAAAAACATGTGCCCCGCAATAAACCATATAGTTTTATTCAGGTAAATGTATTACTCTTGCTAACGGTGGAACCAAAATTGGGCATAGTTATACATTTGCGAGTTTTGTGTATTTGCAGTTAAACCTTATCATAGTTTATAATGGTGTAGTTGAACAATTGACAATTGATATTTTTTGTCATTCTAAACATGTTTATATCATTAGATATTAAGAATTTAATATTGTTCTTATTTTGCTTCATATAATGGATATATTACCTATATGTTCCATATATTGTAAAGGGTGCTTGATGACTAAACCTTTATTTAATACCATAATTTGTAATTCCAATTTCTTGATATTATTTATTAATTTCTAATATCTTAACATATGGTTATCTCACTTAATTGTTTGAATTGCATATGAGAAACATATTTCTTTACATTTACTTGTTTTCCCAATTTTAGAAGAGAGTAATCGAACCAATGTGAATCAGTTGTACGAAATGAATGAGAAACCAAAATATGTCTACATTCAGACGTCCACATTCATACACACAATGAATATTTGGAAATACAAACTCATGACCGTCAACACTTGTACGTATTTGAACCTTATAGAACCAATTTCTGAATGTTTAGAAATACAAACCCATGACCATCATCAACATTTGTAGATACTTAAATATGGTATAACCAATCTCTAAAATCAAACATAGTTCAAACAACATAATTCAAACAACAAACTTCAATTGGACGCTCACCATTACCATCATGTTAATTACCATAAGACTCCACCTCTTTGATATGTGGCTGCCTTTGTTGTTCTCTTGTTCCTTCTGAAAATGGCAAGGATACCATCATTCGGTACATCACCTCAGTCATTTGGAATTGCCTCATTGTCATAATTTAAACCAAATGAACTTTCTGCCTTGTTTCTAGACATGTGTTTGCTTCTCTAATTTATTCTCAAATCTTTGATTAACTCCACATGCAAAACAGCCATAAATCCCTCTTTAGCTCCATCCCTCACAATCTTTCTGCATATCTTATCTACAATCGTCGAGTACGTAATCTCTTTCAAAGATGAGATCTTGAATGTTATAGCGCAAGTGGGATTTTTTTAAACCCATTTCAGTTCCTCTTTTGAATAGTGACCTCCATGGTCGAAAAATATGTTTATGATGTTCATGCTTATTGTCCCCTACAAATATAATACAAATAATCAATTGCCAATTACAAAACATCTCATAGTTGTACTACGTGTACCAGTTGAACTTTTACTACCATTAATCTTTAACATGTAGTTGTACCTATATGAACCACTTGAACTACTTAATCAACTAACTCTCATTTGTACCACTCGTACCAGTTGTACCATCTCTGCAGTTTCCGATCTAGTTCAAAACTGGCTGCAATTCACAAGATACATTAGTCAAAAAACTTAATCTAACGCCTATTCTATCAATGAATGTATACCATTTCAATATCTATGCCCAATGAACCGATTTACAAATCCATACATCAAACAAATAAATAAAAAGCTAGAAACTTACCTCCAATGGAATAGAAGCTTTACCAATGATCAAACAAAGGGAAAGGGGACATCGACTGTCTAGAGAGGAGAAAGAGGAGGCGGAATAGGTGTAGATGAGCTTAGGTCGAAGAAGATTTCGATTTCAATGGTGGCTGGGAGCTAGAATGAGAAAAGAAGCGGCGAGAGATTCCGACCAAATCTCGCGATTTCCAAAATCCAAAATCTTATTTTCGTTTTTTTTTTATTTTTTTTTATTTCTTTTAATTATTATTTTTAATTAAATGAGAAAAAGGTGAAAAGGGTGAAAGTAAAAGGTGAAAAGAGAAGGAAGGAGATAAGGGTAATTGCATAATCTTTGTAAATGAAGAAGTGACATTAGATTAGGTTGTGGCAGGCGAGATTAAATTTTCCTCATTTATGGCAAATTGACCTCGCGCTCACTCTACTTCAAGAATACATATTCACCCAAATTGGAAATTGGCTATGTAATACAACAAATTATGGTGTTTAAAGTGTTTATGTTGCAACATAAAAATTGCAAATAAACAACAAATAAGACTTTTCCGAGAAAAGCATCGTCAAATTTATTTTCTTTTGTTTTATTGTTCTTTCGAAATTTTAGTTCCTTATGGTTTGTTACACACTTGCATTTAATGTTTGTTACACAAACATTGGTTCAAGAGCTCATATCACCTTGGGATATTTTTCGAAATCTGACCGTTTAGCAAATAAGATAAATCATATTAAAGAGGGGATAACAATGAAATGGTGTTATCGCTCGTTGCTCTTTGGATTCGTCATAGCAACGTTGTAAAATGAGGTTGATCGGTTGCCTTTATTTGTTTTTTTTTTTTTTTTTTCGTTCTTTTCTTTTTTACCTTTACGTACCTATGAGTTTTACATGTTATAGAAAAAAAAAGAAAACCAATCCGAAGACAGCATCCGGTTTTCAAAACATGGCATGTATGAAAAATAGAATTTTTAAAACAACAAACCAAGTAATCTTCACAATCTTTACTTTTGAAAAGACGGCATTGTGGTTTGGCGCGTACCTAAATCTCAACATATTTAAATCTTGCGTTTGTAGTGATGACAATGAGAAGAAACAAACAATATTCATAATCACTGTAATATATTTTGAATTCCCGAGCCACTTGTTGCAGTGCCGGTCCAACGAATTTAAATGCCCTATTCGAATCTAAAAAGTATGCTTTTCAATTTTTTTTTCCAAAATCACAAAAACAGTAAAAATATAAAAAAAAACCATTAAAACTTCATAAAATAAACAAGTTCTAAATAAACAATTCCCAGTTAGTAAATAGTTTGCAAAAAAAAAACTGATTTCTTATAATTTAAATAAAGCTTTCTTAGATTTTGAGCTGCAAAATCATTTATTAAACTCACATAATGATACACATACTAAAGATATTTGTTAACAAATGTCCTATAAATATTAATATCACTAAAAAGGTTTTAAAACTTTGTACATGATATATAAACCCCTTTAAAAAAAATTAACAAAAATATGTTCTTGTTAAAACTTTGTAAATAATACCTTTAAGAAAAATTTAAGTAACTAAAATATGCCCTTGTTAAAACTTTGTAAATGATATTTATACACCCCTTAAGAATTATTTATGAAAAATATGCCTCTAATAACTGGATGCCCTACTCGGCCGCCTTACCGCGTACTCTGCATGTGCTCAGGGCCGGCCCTGACTTGTTGTAAATAGTAAAACTTGTCTCACATGCGGTTGCGGATGGCTTGACGAAGTACACAGCAGGCTCGTACGACTAATAATTGGTAGCAGAATTAAACCATATCTTAAAAACAAAAATTTTGTTTAATATGTACTTATTTATATGTTGCTTAAAAAACAGACACAATTTGACATAAACGAAGTAAACAATGGAGATATTGCATAGACCAGAGAACATATAAAGATCGGGTTGTAACTTGTAACCAAAGACAGAGGGCTGCAAAAGTATCGGAGAACAGACACTGACGAGAAGCATATTTTATATAGTTATTATAGTATATAATAATACTAATGTTTAAATATGTTTTTGGGGGAGACTAAAGAAAGATAAAAGTGTTCGGATTATGTTACCGGTTTCCCGGCTTTCCCACCGTTCAGACTTCAGATGCAATGCATTTACTCCAGTCTGCTTTCAAAGGTTGATAGATTCTTCTCCTCACAATTTCAAATTATTTAATTGCATTTGGACTTTCAGGCGAATAGACCATAACTACTCGGTCTTCCTAGAAATGTCATTCCCTTTTCAAGATAATCAATCCTCCACTAAAAAAATATGATACGAAAACATTAATTTTGCTTTTTTAATATGTTAGTAAGTACTACAGTATGTTTTAATTTGTTGCCGAAAAGTCGACAAGTTTAAAATGATAGTAGAAAATAACACTAAATTTTGCATATAGATTCTTGTAAAACATCTTATAATTTGCTAAAAAAAACTATAAAACTTCATACAATTTTAAACATAGTGAGTATGATTGTAAGACCATCTCCAACCACACTGCAAAACACCAAATATGGTGCAAAATGAGCTCCAACCACACAGCATACGAGGAGAAAACAAAGTCGAGTGCTAAAGTCTTATCATTGGAGCAGAGAGTGTCGGATCTTGAAAATGAGCTTAACAAGAAGACGGCCAAATCTGCTTCTCCGAAAGCTTTTTCATTCAAGGATGTTGTTTACTTTTGGAATACCAAGAGTAAAAGTGGTTATGAAAAACTAGACTGAAATTGTTTTTTATTACTGGGTGTTTTTGTTTTTGCTAATTAAGAAGTTTCTTGTGCAGAACTTCTCTTTCTTTTAGTTAAAGAAAATAAAAATTAAACGCTAGATACTAAAGAAATATGCAGAGATCATCGATCCTTTGATTCTTTGTTTTTGTCATCATCATCACTTTTCCTTCAAAACTTAGTTCGAGTTAATATGTTACACCAACACAATACTGATATATATATACTAGATTAAGGCCCGTGTATACGCGGGTATATTTTAAGATTTTATAATAAAAGTATGGAAAATATTAAACAAAATTTGATCATTTTTAAACGTAAACAAAATAATATTGAAAACCCGATAAAAAATATTTAAATAAAATAAGATTGATAATACTTTTACATTTTTATTGTAATTGATTTTTCTTTTCAATTTATGATATGACAAAATGAATTAATTTGTTTTACTATTATTTTTATCCAATACAGAAAGACTTACACATGTCTAAATCTGATCAACTGATTAATTAATCAAACTTTTATTATTCCATTCAAGAGATTTTAATTAATGAATCTTTATTTTAATTTTTTTTTACAAAACAGTGGGTTGATACATGAATGAAACTCACATCACATGTGTGATGAACGCATCTTAACAAATTTTAAATGATAAGGTTAGTTTAAGTTATTATTGGAACGTACCGGGAAAAATAACAAAGGAGGAGACTTTGGATATTTTTGGTGGTCAAGATTGGGACATTGGAGACATTTGGATCAAAGCGTGTCCCTCGTTGACCTAAATCTCCTTAATTTGGCGCGTAGCTTTTACGGTAGCTAAATTCATTCAAAACACATGCTTAAGTCTCATTCATTTTGTTTTTCAAAAATATATCGTTTTAATTTGTGTATGCAAAAAAGGTCAAGACATTAAAGAGAGACGCCTTGCTCTATCAATATAAATAAACAACTTTTGATCAGATGTGAATATGATTTAGATAAGGCAAAAAATGTGGAAGACTCCTTAGCCCAATGGTTTGGCTAAGGATTCATTAATGCTTCTATACCATGAAATCTGTGGTCTCAAAATCTTATTGTAACATTTCTAATAATTTGTAAAAGTATGATAAATCAAATGAAAAAATATGTATATATGCAAAAAACAAAACGGTTCAATCTTGGGTTCGATTCCTTGCTGGTGCAATGGGCAATAAGATTTTAGGTTTTACAGTGGTTGGGTCTTACGCAAATCATTCATCTGTTCTGTTGGATGTGAATCAACTAAGTTATGTTTTTGAGGAAAAAAATGAAGAGAGAACAAATAAGCTTTAAGTCAACATAAAATGTGGGCCTTATCATACTACTGGGCCTTGCTCTGTTTTTTGTTACGTTCAAAAGAACTCATGGGAAGAGTTCTGTAAGTAACGAGGTTTCGTATTTCAAAGTGTATAAACAAGAAAGTACATGCAAACCTCATGATCTTTTTCATTCGTATGACGTGATAAACCAAAAACAGCTATTTAATTTCAAAGCCCTCTCTTAATTACATCATACCTTTTTGATATAAAACATGTTAATTCATAATTGTACAAAAGGAATTACAAAAAGAAAACAAGACAATGGGCTGTAATCCTCTATCTAATCTGGTTTTAAATAGATAGAAAAGGTAGGAACGTCATGCAAATCCTACGAGTCTTGACGACGATGGTTTCTCATGTTTCTAACATGTCTATGCTTCTCATAACTACCCTCTCTATTATCATCATCTCCACCGTAGTGGCTAAACCCTCTATCTCTACTCCCATATCTCCATCTCAAGATTTTGATGCTTCCTATAAGATGAAATCCAAGACCTTTTTACCAAAGCTGTATGGCGATTACGGGTTTTGGAACCCGACCCCGGTCTATGGAGGAGGATTTTACCCGGGGCCAGTTCCTCATGGTAGTTTAGATCTAGAACAGAGAGATGAAAAGACGAAATAAAACAAGAAGTTGTGTTGGAGATGCTCTTCAACCATGCTAGTTACGGGCAAAGCTTTTGATATATGGGTGTTCTATAAACAAGGTAGTGTTAATTAAGGCTGATATACTTACTGCATCTGAATAACGTCTTCGTTTCTGATTTGTAGTAGATACAAATTTATAGTTATACACACATTTTGTTCCACTCTCTAGATACGCCATGCATGATGTGTATATAATCTTAAGAAACATGTATATATTCAAAATTACTATGAGCAATAGTTCTGCTCAAGAAACATTTCTAATCCTATGGCCATGAACAAGTTCAAACAGACGGATGGAAGAGAGTCAGACCTCAACAAATATCAAGTCATACTGATTTGTTCAAACAGATTGGTATAATTGTTCAAACGGGAGTAGTAATCATACTTTTTTTCTTTTTTTTCTTACCATTTATGTCATCAATTGAATATTTTACAAGATCAAGTAAAGAATCCATATTCGGTCAAACGCCTCTTACTATTCCATCACACAGTAAGATGTGACGCATAAAAGTGTAAGAAAATGTAATTTCTATGTTCTATCGTTATACTTTGGTTGACACCCAATTATGCAAACAAAATTAGTGCACATATGACAAAGTCACAAAACTAACATAGAAATCTAAACCTTAGAAAATCTTACCTAGAAATCAAATATTTAATCGATGCTTTAATTAGCCTCACAGGCTTGCACTATATATGAGAAAAGTCTTCCAAAGGAGCTGTCGTGTGACAGGTTTGGTATGAAGTCTTCATGAGATCCATCGGAACTTTGATCTAGTTATATGCGTAATGCGTAACTGAACATCTATAGTTGTTAAGATCATATCTACGGCAACTGGTTTTATATTATAGTCTTTTCTGTTTTATTAAAATGCATTTTAACCTTTTACACATATATTAGACACGACTGTATATTGTTTTGTCTCTGTAATTAACTAGCAAAAGTAATAAGGAGAAAACTAAAATTTTATTTAAAAGCATGCAAATACAAGATAATGACATTTTCTATATGGATTGGAGATGAAGTTAACCAATTTAGTCTAGGTGATCTAAGACTTTAGCATAGTGACCATTGTAAATAATGTATACGATAACAATATGTCATTCAGTTGCACATCTAAAAAAATAATCTAGATTTCAACTAGTTAGTGCTAATTATTAACAAAAAAACTAAATTATATTCCATAATAAACTATATCATCAACTAACATACTTATATGAGTTTGAACAAGACAAACACAAGTATGAGTGACATATGCTGATAATAATAAACATTAACCCCGGTGGATTAGTAATTAACAAAGCTACAAACACAAATCTGCTGATTTAAATTGTCTCAGTCAAATTCAAATATCATCTGCCTAAGAAAAGGGGTCTAGTTTAGTTGCTAGTTGCTACTAAACAACGAGGGAAAAAATCAAGTAACGATCAATTTCCTGTCAAATGATTAAACCTTTTTTATTCCGGTTTCACACTTGAATTAAAAAACCGAAATTCAAACATTAAACCGTAAAGTCAAAGTGATGGCGTGTTGACCAAATGTGTTAATGTGTTTCTGTCCCCAATATTCTAATCACACCACCGTTGACCACTTCAATGGCTTGGCTCCTCTTCTTCTTCCTCACCATCACCACTCGCCACAATCTTTTCAGCTTTCTTCCTCTTCTCTTCCCTTCTTTCGTCTCCTACTCTCTCCTCCTCCACAATCCAATCGATGGCTTTCAATTTCTCCCGCCTCGATGCTCAATCCGCCGCCGAGAAAGCCGTCTCGGTGATCGGACTCGGTTACGACTTCTCCTCCGACGTCCGTCTCTCCGCTTGTAAACCCACACCCGACGGGTCGAGATTAGTCGATATCGACCCGACCCGGAACCGAGACCTGGTTTTCCCCGGCGGAATTGTCGTCAGTAACGTCTCGAGCTCGATTAAGTGCGATAAAGGCGAGCGAACTCGTTTCCGCTCCGACATACTCTCTTTTAACCAGGTTTCGTCTCCTTCTTCTTCATCTCCCAATTCGTAATTAAAGAAAGAAAAAAAAAACATTTTTTGAGTGATTCTTGTTTTTTTTTTTTTTTTTTTATCTTCGTTGTTTGTGTAGATGTCGGAGAAATTCAATCAGGACATGTCACTCTCCGGGAAGATTCCGTCGGGGATGTTCAATAGTATGTTTTATTTATCGAAATCTTGGCAGAAAGATGCGAGCTCTGTCAAGACTTTAGCTTACGACGGATGGTTTATTAGTTTGTACAGTGTAGAGCTCGTTAGGTCTCAAGTCACTCTACGCGATGAAGTCAAGCGTGAAGTCCCTTCTTCTTGGGACTCTGCTGCTCTTGCTGGGTATGAATCATGATAATGAAGAAACTTTTAAAGTGATCTGCAAGATTTGATTTTTAGCTTTTTCTCATGAAACAGGTTTATAGAGAAATACGGAACGCACATAGTAGTAGGAGTGACAATGGGAGGCAAAGACGTGGTACACATGAAGCAGCTACGTAACTCGAATCACGAGCCGGATGAAGTACAGAGACGGTTGAAGCATTTGGCTGACAAAAGATTCTCAGCTGAGACAGTTGAAGAAACCATCTCCTCTCCTGTCTCTGTCCAAAGTCCTTTATTTCAAGGACCGTTTGGGACCTCCGTTGGTCGTCCTGAGATCAGGCGGTCCAAGAACGAGGACATGATGAGCATTTTCATCAGGAGAGGAGGTGTTGACATGGGACAAAGCCATGACCGATGGCTCTCAACGATCTCGCAGTCACCAAACGCCATCTCCATGTGCTTTGTTCCCATCACTTCGTTATTGAGCGGTCTTCCCGGAACAGGGTTTCTTAGTCACGCGGTTAACTTGTACCTCCGGTATAAGCCGCCGATTGAGGAGCTTCATCAGTTTCTCGAGTTCCAACTTCCACGGCAATGGGCTCCGGTGTACGGAGATCTCCCTCTCGGGCTACGCCGCACGAAACAGAGCTCTCCGTCTCTTCAGTTCTCTCTCATGGGTCCTAAACTTTACGTCAACACATCAAAGGTACACGTTGCTCTCTCACATTGCTGTAGCAAAAACAAACCTTTTGCTTAATTTAGTAACTGTTGTAGCAAAAGTAGCAGACTTGAGTCTCAAGAAACTGTTCTTTACTTCTTTAGGTTGATTCTGGTGAGAGACCTGTGACGGGACTACGGTTATTCTTGGAAGGGAAGAAAGGGAACCATCTAGCGATCCATTTGCAGCATCTCTCGACGTGTCCTCCAAGTCTCGGACTCTCACACGACGACACGTATGAGCCTATTGATGAGTCGTGTGAGAAGTGTTACTACGAAGCTGTAAAATGGGGGATCTTCTCGCATGTATGCACGTTTCCGGTTCAGTACAACGGAGCTAGGTCTGACGACGCGGCGTCCATCGTGACGAAAGCATGGTTAGAGGTGAAAGGAATGGGGATGAGGAAAGTTCTCTTCTTGAGGCTCGGTTTCTCGCTCGTTGCGTCGGCTGTTACGCGTAAAAACTGCTGGGATAATCTCTCGACGAACTCGAGGAAATCGGGTGTTTTCTCGATGATTAGTACAAGGCTAAGCACGGGTTTAAGTCCGGTCCCGGCGATGAAGCCGCAGTCTAAGGTTGATATAAACTCTGCGGTGTATCCTCGAGGGCCGTCGCCGCCTGTGAAGCCGAAGCTGCTGAGTCTGGTGGATATGAAGGAGGTGGTGAGAGGTCCTGAGGAGTCACCTGGGTATTGGGTTGTGACTGGTGCTAAGCTTTGTGTTGAGGCGGGGAAGATCTCTATTAAAGCTAAGTATTCTCTGCTCACTGTTATGTCTGAAGATTCTCTGGTCTGAGAGTGGATTCTTTTTCAGTTTTGTGATTAGCTTTGAGGTAATGTCTCATCAGGTGTTTTTTTTTTTTTGTGTTGTGAAGATTTTGTTCGTGTGTTGATGTAAATGTTTCGTTGTATATTGAGATTGTTGACATTTACTATATACATAATACATGTGTAGTTGTGATATTTGTTTGTGTAACATATTTTGGATAAAACTAAATACGATTTTGAGGGAGAAAATTTAAAACGAATAGCATTTGAAAAAATTGCATGCCGTCATATTTTCAGATATAATTTTGCAGATTTTATATTTTAAAATAAAAAGGTTTTATATTCTAATGAAAAAAGAAAGAAATAAGTATGTTTTATATCCTATATCTCACCAAATCCTATATAGTAAGCTACAAAATTAAATTAAGTGTTTCAATCTTTTTTCCCTATCTCTAAATGTGTTCTACAAGTAAAAAAGGAAAAACAAACTAATGCCTCATATTTTAAGATAAAAATGTTTTATATTCTAACGGAAAAATGACAAAATATTTTTGTAAATTTTATATTTGAAGATAAAAAAATTATATTCTAACGGATAAAAGAAAAAAAAAGTATTTTATGTTTCACCAAGAACAACTATTACCTTTAAAATTAAATTAAGTTTTTCCATATTTTTTTTCCTATTTCTAATTATATGCTTTTCCATGTTTTTTTTATACCAAAATTTATGTATGTCTTTCAAAGTTTAAGAACAACAATGAAAATTATTTGACTCTAAATCATTTGGATCGAAATCGAAATTATCGTCATAATATATTGTATATTATTAGAAAGTGGAAAGTTATAAATCCTAAAGAAAATAATATTTTTATAAGAGTTTAACTTTTATTACTTGATGAAATATGTTTATTATAAAATTATTATATATGATTATTATTCTTTATTATACATTGAAGCTGAAGTATATTATGTTATTTAAATATTTCTTGTCGGAGTTTCAATATTATTTTAGTAATATTTAAGAGTAATCATATTTTGTTTAATAGTTTTCTAAAATCTTAAAATAAACTCCGCATATACACATGAACTTATCCTCATATATATGCCTAGTATACTAAAAGTTCGAAGCCAATTCAATAATTTATTTATGTACAAAAAATGGACAAACCGATATGGGTTTCCAATCAACCGATGTGTGATAAAGATCCACAGGTGAACAACCTGGTATTAACAAAAGGATTAACCGATCAGTTCTCTACCATGAGAAAAAACAAAACTATCTAGAAGGCTAATGAACTTAACATGAAAGAAGAGAAATCATTTTGTTATGTTAGGCCCTAACTGGTACCAGCTGAATTGAGGAATTCAGCTGAATTATAGCTGAAAAAAAAAAACTATACACCAGTTGATAGTTGTGGAATATGGAATGAGGAATTGTGGAATTCATCTTAAAACACCACTGTTCAGTTGGGTCCCACCACAACTCTCTCTCGGCCTCCGTTTATTTATGTCACGTAAATGATTTTCAAATGTAAAATTGAGACACATGGCATTTTAAAATAGTAACTTAATAATTTTAAAATGAGTTACTATTAGTTAAACTAAAACCAATCAAAGAAAATCAAACGCTACATCATGCAGCAAATCTTTTAAACTTTTATTTTCAAAAATATTATTTTAGTTAATCTCTAATAAAATAGTTGTTGTACTAAAATACTATAAAACAAACTTAAAATATTATTGATTAAATTGAGTATAATATTAAATATAATTTATCCGCATTCAATCCGATCAAATTTTTCCCAAAATTGAATCTTAATAATAAAATTAGGTAGATCCATATAATAAATTTAGTTTATTAATTCAACTAGGGTAAATATTTTTTATTCTAACCCTAACTGATACCTGAGAATACTGCAGAATTGAAGAATGTTGTGAATATTTTAAAAATGTTACTAGTTAACTATGCAGAATTGTGAAGAGTTGAGGAATGTGAAATTGAAGAATCTATCACTAAAAGACAAAAACAAGTGATTTTTTTTATGAATTGATAAAATAAAATTGAAATTTGTTTTTTAACTTTGGTGTTTAATAAATAAATTATTATAAATTATGATTCTTAAATCCTATATTTTAAAAATTATTTGAGTTTACTAATATTTAATTGTTTTACAAGTAAATTTTTATATTTATTTTATTAATTAAATTGGATGAATATTCTGTTACACAAATAATTTGTTAGATTTATTCCGCATTCACAACATTCCGCATTCACATTCAGCAGTTACCATTCACAATACTAACTATTCAGCCAGATTCTGCAAAAAGTTACAATTTAATTCCGCCAGATTCCGCATTCAGCAACATTCCGCAGTTACCATTTAGACTCTTAATAACAATATTCACCACACAGTATTCGCCACACAGTCGAGCAAACACTCTTGAGCTACTTATGAACTTCTAGAATGTATATTGATTTCAGCTCTCAAAATAAGAACATCACCTGTAACACAACTTTTAATAGTCTTGATGCAAAACTGTTATCAATTTAAGAGCTGCATATAATATAAATCTGAACATACAATTTACTTCAAACAAACGGATCTAGTTCAATATTCCCTCCGTTTCAAATTAGTTGTCGTTTTGGCAAAATGTATCTGCAAATATTTGAACGTATTTGGACATGTTTTGCATTGCAGATATGTCCAAATATTTGCAAATACATTTTGCCAAAATGATAACTAATTTGAAACGGAGGAAGTAATAAAAACAAAATATCAATAAAAGAAATGAGACAGGAAAAAGACAAAGTAGAAGGAAAAAGTGGAAACAAAAAAATCTGACAAACGTTTCAAACTTCAAACATGACTGCCTGGCAAATTGCTGACTTTTGGCAAAACAAATCAATCTCTCTTCCGCGACGCCGTTTTATGACTACGTACAATCCCCACCGACTTCGACTTGCTCAGCCTCATTGCCGCCGCCGTCGTCTTCACCGGTATTTCTCTCTCGACAAGAATTCTGATCGTCGTAAACACCTTACTTTCTCCTCCAACGTCGTCGTTTGGATCCGGTCCAACTTTCGATTTCCCCATCGCTCCCACTGATCTTGATCTCATCACAAAATTCCGGCGACGAAGCGGTGGAGAAAAAACCGGCGGCTCCATGACTATTCTCTCGTATACATCATTCACGCTAGACACCTTGCTCTGCTTCTTACTACCTCCTCTCACGATCCTCACATGGATCTCTTCCTTCTCTTCAACCACCAAAACGTTTTCCGATCTCTCTTCGCTCCTCCTCCGCAGCCGATTCCACACCGGAGAAGCCTTAGATATCTTCCTCACCGAATTCAAACACTCCACAACCTCCGACATATCCGGACGTTTCTCCACCGTCGATCTCACGCACCTCGCCGCCATAACGGCTAATCTCCGGATCACCGCGGACTGAGGACGGTTCCTGATTCGAGAATCGCAAATCGCGGCGAATTCGCCACGTCTGATCAGAGGCACCGCCCAATCGACGATACACGGCGGACTAAAATTCAAATCAATGGCGTCTCTACCGCTGATAATCTCCAGCAACAGTATCCCGAAGCTGAACACGTCGCTTTTAGCGGTTAGATCCGCCGGCGCCAAGTACGACGGGTCTAGGTATCCGAGCGTTCCCGCCGGCGGCGTGGATTTCAGATGCTCGTCCCCCGCGTTTCCGATCAACGCCAATCCGAAATCCGCCAGCCTCGCGTTCCCGTCGCCGTCGATGAGGATGTTCGACGACTTGATGTCGCGGTGGATAACCGGCGTCTCGGCGGAGTGAAGCGCGTGGACGGCGATCGCGATCTGAAGCGCGTTTTTGATCCTTCGGTTCCAACTGGGATGATGATCTAACGAGTGCAAGTGGTCGTGAAGCGTGCCGTTAGGCATGTACTCGACGACGAGCAGCTTCGTCTTCCTCCGGTGGTCAACGCAGTAACCGATTATGTTGACCATCCAACGGTGACGAAAGCGAGAGAGAATCTCAATCTCGTTGTCGACTTGATTTACGCTGCTGCATTTGTTATGATGATCACTACCGCCGGTGGCGATTGTGGTTCGTTTGACGGCAGCGAGAAGCTTTCCGCCGTCGAGAACCGCTTTGTAAACTCTGCCGTGGCTTCCTTTACCGAGGAAATTACCGGCGGAGAAGCCGTTTGTAGCGGCGGCGAGTTCGTCGTAAGTGAAAATCCGGAGCTTAGGAGAAGGTTTTGATCGGCTGCGTCGAGGATTATTCCAGTTGTGAGGATCGCAGATGGAAACGGCGGATTCGACATTGCAGGAGAGAAGATAGCCCATGAGGAGAGGTAGAGAGAGAAGTTGAAGAGTGAGAAAAGAGCATGACTGAAATTTCGAAGAAGAAGAGAGTGAGAGATTACTGTTGAAACAGCTTTGATGCAAGAAAGAAAGCAAAAGAGAAAAAAAAGATAGTGTGAAAACAATCAAAAATGTGCTTTTGACTAACCTTTTTTCTTCTCTGTCTCTCTTTAATTTTCAAAGTTGCTCAATTATTTTATTTTGCATTTAACGTATGTGTGGATACGTGCATGAGTGGAGTGGGTGTAATCATTTCCTAAATTTTCATGATTTCCAAGATTATTGCCGCCATTATACATTAATCGATTTTCAAATAATTATACTCTTTGGGAAGGAAAGATTTTGCGTGCACCATTATGGTAGTATATGAATATACGCCGGAGATACTGGTTAATAATTGAAAGCAATATGTACGTTATAAATTCGATATCTAATATTTTTATTTCCATCTCTCTCTCTCTTCAACTAAAATTTTGGCATGCTAGTATGCTACTATATTCAAAATTTTGTCACGTACGAAAATGTGTTTGGCGTACACTGTAGAATCTGGAGCTTCTTTGGGATGCTACCAAACGGAATTATGATGGGCATGAGAGAGCTCACAGATTTTTATGCGGAACAAACAAAAAAAAAAAAATTGTTTTGATCCATAAAATTTTGTGCACGCATTTACACCGAAAAAGGTGATTATGGTAAATTCCATGTACGTAGATCATGATTTATTTGTTCTTTTGGAATCGACGTCTTGTTCGTTCCCGAGTCACTGAAATCTGAGTAAATAAATTCAGCAATTGCAACGGACGGCCATCGGGCCTTGTGGACTTTACGCTCGTCATCGTGTGATGTTTGGGCTTTTGTGACTTTCTGGCCCAATTGTATTCTTTTCCGATCTGGTTTACGACGGTGTAGATATTATGAATATCAGAAGACGATGGTATTAAAATGAGATATTAATCAAAGAGCTACAATAGAAGCCTAGAAGGCGATGTGATATGAGGAAAAAATGATTCAACAATTCACTTTGGATATATTTTTATAAAGTAAAACATTTGCAGAAACACCTCTTACGGTCTAACAACTCTTAAAAACAAATCCTCCTCATTACTTCAATGGTGTGAGAAGAAGAGTCATCCATCTACAACACCAGAAACAAAACGATACATGCACTCCATCAGAAACTTTGGACAAAATTTAACAATGTTGAACAACAACAACAAAAAAAAAGAAGGAAAAGTCTGCGACCTAAGAGACACGAGACACGATTATTATCACTTCTAATGGTTTCTTTCTATGAAAACGTCCTAAGATCAAGTTAAAGAAACCAAAAACAAAAAAAAAACTTCATTTTCAGCACCACCTTGTCATAAGACTGCATGAATCGCTGACCTCTCCTGAGTGAATTCATCATACATCATCATTGCAATCTGAGTGAATACAATTCTGTATCAGTGTCGTATTCTTATGCACATGACAAGTGTTGTTCTAGTCCGAGACGCTCAGAGAAAATATACAATATTTCAAGCATATGCAATCACGTTAACAAAGAAGACCTATCAATCACACAGAATCAATCACAAATGAGAAAATTGCAACCATGATGGCAAATCAAGTGAAACACCTAACTCCAAGACTAGAGGATATATTGACTCACATCACTTTTGTTGAATGATCTTCATCTAGTCTCGTCTAGACCTACAAAGCCAAAAAGAAATGATTTGTTCTCAATGTATGCAATAAATTGTATAATTTGGGTAAAGATTATGTAAAAGAGATGCCACAGGACAGACTCTACTAAAGGGCTTTTTCTTTTCCTATCAGCCGTATGTTTTCCTCGACTAAACTTAATGAAGTGTTCTAGAGAAACATTAGATGCCAAAAAAATTGATTTTGATGGGAAAAACACCAAGACCTTTAAGGGTATAGACCTAAGAAGTTTAGTGTTCACTACACTAAACAAAGCTATGATCCATAACACTCTATGTAAAACATAACAACTCTTGAACTTAGCTCATAGCAACAATCACAACATTGAGTACTGAGTAGTGTAGTATCGGAAGATCAAAAAGCATATAACACTGGCTCATTACCACCATCATGCAACAAACTGAAGAATTCAGTCAATTATCGACTATGATTTACATCTTCAACAAGAGGTGTCTTCTCACCAATCTATCCACTAAAACATTCACCAGACTAAACAATCAAATCAAACTAGGACTCAATTCATTAACTTGCCTCGGGAATTGCAAGAATTTTTAAGCATATAGAAAATGTCCCATTTACACTAACTATATCAATTTAAGAGCCACGAAATTGATAATAGGAAAATGGCGATGTGTTGTAGTACCTTCAACAATCCAACCACGGCGTGAAGCTGAGAGCATTGAATTGAGCAAAGCGGAAGCAGTGGCCGTGTGGTATGGGAGCATCGTCTCCACGCAACAGCTCAGCTCCACCGGAGATCTTTTGCAAAAACAAAAACTCAGAGTGTTACAGAATGTTCCGGCGAAGGGGTTCACTGGATGTGAGAAATATTTTACCTGAAAATGCGGTTTGAAAGAGGGCTCTGTTTAGGCATCCGAAACGCAGACCGCGCCGATGACGGCATAGGCTTGGGTCCCGTGGAGAACCTTGACGCGGCGGCGGATGCTCGGCTTGCGGCGGAGCGGAATACGGATCTGGCGGCGGACATTGAACGATTAGGATCTCTCGATTAGACTTTTTTTTTTCCTCTTAGTTTTCCTTGGAGAGAGTTTAGGGATTTTGCGTAGGGTTTTGTGAAAGGGACGGATCTAGTGCATCTGCACTTACGGGAAGCTTGATGAAACCGTGACACGTGTCAAATCCGATGAAAGAGTGACACGTGTGAAATCCAAAGTTTGTACAAAAAAGTGAGGAAAAACAAAGTGCTAAATCTGTTTTGACTAAAATAACACTTCGTACTTTTCGTATGCAAAATATAAAATCATAAATCAAGGAAAAAGAGTGATAAATCAGTTTTGACTAAAATAATTATAACTAATCAAATCTTTAGATGATCGCAAGAACATAGTGGAAGCCTCCTCCATCGTTGATGTTGCTATGCGACTTCGATGCATCATATTAATTTCGTAAAGAATTTTGTGCCATTAAGATGGATTCACAATTATCACATGGCGACTCGAAACATTGGAGAGCAAAAACATCAAGCCAAAGCTACCAAGACTCTAGCCACACTAGCTAAACCTTTCTATATGGGATGCAATTTGGGGTTTCAATACAATTTGAAAAAAATTGGTAAGAGAAAAGTCTAGTTAAACTAACTTAGAAATTTTCAGTTTTAAAAGTATGAAATATTTCAATTGTTGTTTGACATATTTGTTTCTCTTTCCGACCTTTAGCTTGCAAACCAAGCCGCATATGCAATCGCAAAATATGATCTCATTTTGACATCTTATGAGACCTTGGCTTTGGTTTTTTTGTATTAGCAGACAAAACGCATATCTCTTTCTTCAGTTATTGAACTTCAACTATATAACTACTATGTAACTTTTTGTCGTAACAAGAAAAATATATATGTAGAATTTTAACTTACTGAATGACAAAATCATAAACTAACATACATATTACTGTCTATCGGTAAGGTTACAGCTAATAATGTTCGTAAGGTTTATATTAAAAAATGAATCCAGAAAAAGGAAAAAGGGTAATTAACTTTGTCCTTTATGTTGGCCGTGATTAACGGAATTTGAAGTCTTCTTTTCCTGGTCAAGAGTGGTGTGGAATGTGGATTCTCAATTTCTCATTGCTAAGTGCCTTTGGAGTATCACTTGTCTTTTACTTGTTACGGCGTTTCTTTTGGTCTTTTCCACCCATATCACCATTAAACTAAGTACTTAAATCGTATTGTACATATGCCAAGAAGGCCACAAACACGATTAATGGTAACAAAAGCTTATTGGGTTGATAAACATTTTGGTGTTGTAATACTCTAGCTTTTTCTGTGTGTTTGATTGTTTGTTAACGATATATAATCATGTTTTTAAGATAAGAGTTAAGAAGTACTCATCTAACAATGTGGCACAGAAGATTTATATGGCTTGTACAATATTTCGATTTTAATCCGATAATATGTTTTCTTGATCCATGAAATTAAATATTGGCGGGTGTGCAAGTAATAATTAGTGTCTCTTTTGCACTTCCGCAATGAGGAATGGGGCATCTTCATGTCCCCCATTAAAAATCATTAAAAGCAGTTCACGTTTGGTCCCATTTTAATTATTGATCCATAGTCCTTATTCTTTAACTAAATAAACCAAAAAGTGATTAAATTAACATAAGAAAATAACATAAAGTAGCATCATTTTTATATATACTACTCTCTTTAATTTTCTTTCCTCCAAATATTATATGCAAACGCAAACATCAAAGTTCAAAAACCCATAAAAAAGAAAAAAAGCAAACCCCTTCTCTATTTTTTTTGTTTTTTTACCACATTTAATTTGTTGTAGAATGTAATGATAACAACGATTTAGTTTTGACTAATCAACCATAAGTAAAATAACTTAGTTGAAATATAAAGGGTAAGAAAGTAGTTTTAACTTTTAAGAGTGTAGTGATGATCTTGAGAGGAAATCAAATAACAATCTTCATCAAGGCTTGAACTGATCTACTTGCTCCTCAACAAACTCCTCAGGCTGTTCGTTCACCATGTTGTTCTCCCACTTGGAATTGTATGGATCCTTGAAGCTCTTCTCTTCCTCATTGTTGTTGTTGTTTCCGTACGAATTCGACTGTTCGTAGTTGCTCTCGGTCGCCGGAGCAGAATAGTAGCCGGCGGGGGTTTTCTGGTGAGGCTTCCGGTAGAAATGGCCGTGGTTTTTGGCGTTGTAGAGGTCGTAGTAATAGTTACCTTTTGCCATGAATCTTGTGTCACTCATGCCTTGTTTCTCCAAATTGTGGCTGTAACCTTTGTACGGCGTTTCAGTTTCTAACTCCGTCCCGTAAGCGTTGGAGTTGTAGAAGCTTCTCTTGTCTTCATTGTTCCCGGAGAAAGACTTTTCCTTGACGTTGTCATCGTACTTGTTGTTGTTGTTGAACTCTTCGTTGTTGTTGTAGCTCTCCGTCTTCGTTGGGTACTTTTCATCGTACTTGTTGTTGAACTCTTCGTTGTTGTAACGGTTATTGTCGTAGCTCTCTGCCTTCTTGGGGTACTTTTCGTCGTAGTTGTTGTAAGACTCTTCGGTCTCGCTCAGGCTTGGAGTGGAGAAAGTCTCGCCGTTGACTTTTTCATCATACTTGTTGTTGTTGTTGTTGAACTCCTCTTTGTTGTTGTAGGAGGTCTCGTGACCATACAAGCCATAGCCGCTTCCGGACTCAGGGACAAAAGTAGGATCTTGTTCTTGCTCTTTTTCGTTGGGGATGGATTCTTCAACTGTTGTTTTCTCGCTGGTCTCGAGAGGGAGGACATTGTTAGGGTTTTGGTCTTTGGAGGATTCTCGGTGGAATTTCCCAAAGAAGTAGCTGTCTCTTGCATTGGTTTGAGTGGAGAGAAGAACAAGTGTTGTGAAGAAGAAGAAGAGGGAGGTTCTAGTGGAGAAGGCCATGGTGTGTGTTAGTGTGATAGGGAGTAATGAGAGACAGTGTGATATTGTGGATTATTTGAGAGCTAGTGTGTGCTTTTATATAGAAAGAAGCTCTTTATCTTTTTCTTTAGAAATTTGTGGACTTTTTTGTGTGTTTTTAATTTGAAGTCGTTAGGTGCAAATGGGGACTGGATAGGTGATAATGGTTGATTGTGGGTCCATTGGGATGAGATGAATTTTCAAAGAGGTAGCTCAGCTTTTTCGCCTATAAGATTAGTTTATCAGTAAAAGGTGGTTTATCTTCGACCAAAAAAACTACTATCGACATAATTTCGTTAATTAAAATGAAAACATGGATCGTATATTAGTAGTTTTGTTGAAAACAGTTATGGACTAAAAGAATAGATAAGGAGGCTTTATTCAAATCAATGGGTGGTGATTATTCTCTTATTTGTTTGTTTCCCCCTTCATGTCATTGTTCTTAGCAGCTGAGGAGTTGCAACTAAAGTCCTGTCACAAAAGTTTTGATTGGTAGCATTAAGTTACATTACATTCTTTTCTCAAAAAAAAAAATCCAATATAATTACCAGTTAAAACATTTTTTTTTTTAACATTGTCTCTAATCTACTCATTTTTTTCTTTCTCTTTTAATCGCTAGTATAATTTGTTAGGAAGCTCACAACCGAAATTGAGATTTACAATCCACTAATTACCAACCGAGTTTAAACTTATACATACTTTCATTTTTTATTTATTTTTTTTGTAATAGTATATCATTAGGAATTTAAAAAGTTGTAATACATCTAACACAAATTACCATTCAAAGCCACTACCATATTAAATATACACAATGAGGAGATTATGATTCAATAGACTCATAAGATGTAAACTCCTAAACTGTCTTGATGTATAATCCTATCTGATTAAATTCTTTGCGCACTAGGCCAATCCACATGGTTATAACAACATTTTCTAGTTTCTTAATTATAGTCTTAAACGATAAAAAGAACACATCTTGTCTGTATTTCGAATAAACACTGAAAAGCTGCACAATTTTGTGTTGTTTATAACACATATCTTTCTAATTTAGCCTCTAAAATAATCGACATAATAGTGTCATGTTGATCATTGAATAGCCTCGAGATGCTTCCTTATGTAAAATAACTTTATAGTTTATGTCCTCTAAAGGTCTCAACTTTCCCGATCTTCAAGCAAACCCAAAATTATTCTATATGATTATATATTTCAGATGGTCAGACAAAACCACTCTTTTTTTTTTTTTTTTTTTTTTTGACCAAGACAAAACCACTCTTATATAAAGCTGATTTGAAATGCACCAGTAATTTTATCATCACGTAGTCATAATCATTCTTGCTTTGTACTATGAGAAAAGAAGAATAATCAATGGTTTGGTCGGATTAACATTTACATAATCACATTTACATAATCACATTTACATGCATCTGAAGATACTATATGGGTTTGTTAATTATCGATAGGTGGTGAAGAAAAACCAATACTTTGATCCCTTAGATTAAGCAACTCTGTCGTTCAAAGCCATTTGCAATTTGCAAAAAATACCGAGAAAAATATGGATTATTGAGGTGGTGATTGATTTTTGTCTAAATATCAAGCATTTTGTGGCGATTTCACTTTATCAAACAAAAAAAAGAGAAAGAATCATTAGAAAAGAGGAAAAGCAAAGAGGGAAAAATTGAGAAGCCGAGTAATAATGCGAGGATTGAGGAGAGTGTGAGTGGATTTGGGACATCCCACTGATCACTATGGAGACACCAATACACACGTCATGTGACCCTAAGCCACTATCCTCTCTAGTCTCTATATTGTGTGTGTGTGAGACTAAATTTCGTGTCTATATTTCTTCATTTTTATTTTTTTTCATCATATAGAGAGGAGCATTTCTAAGAATTGCACTTTTAAATAAATGTATCATAGTTTTTTTTTTCTTTGTAGTAGATAATAAAATCATGAAATTTAATCTAACACCGAAATTGGATAGATGGAAAAAAATACTACTCGTATTAGTTTATCATATAGTAAAAAATTGTCAACGAAAAATAAGAAAAACAGATGAAAGGTATTAAGTAATTTCAAGCAACATTGACTAATTTGTGGGGATGAGTATGGAAGATTGTGACTTTGTGAGAGAGTAGGTATTTCTCGTTTTCAGACATATAGTAACTTATTACCCATTCAAAAATGCTAAAAGGAACATAATTGAGAAGAATAAAGTGCCCCCCTGCTAACCTTTAAACACTTTTCAGTTTAAAATAAATAATGCATAAAAAATAAATGTGAAAAATTCCGTAAAAAAGGCAAATAAAAGGAAAACAAGAAGAAGTTGTGGAGTAAAATAGAAAACAATTGGGTGCGAAAAAATTTAAAAAGAAATATTAAACGAAAAAATAAATAAAATAGAAAACAAAAACAAGGTTAATGCAATTAATCAATCAAAGACTCTTCAAGAAAAAGAAAAAAAAACAATCAAATACTCAAAAATGTTGGGGGGGGGGGGGAGATTATGTGGCGTGACTACCGGAATGGGACCGACAAAAGAAGCCTTGTGGTGGGATTAGTCGAGCCGTGTAGGACTATGCAGCAACAACCCTCTTTTTCTTTTGTTTTAGTACGTATTATAGTTTGCACCCCCAAAAAAGTACGTATTATAGTTTAAATGTTGTTCTTATTGCCACAATAATTTAATTTGAAATCTAGGTTTTAAGAGTGTCCATATATATAAGAGTGTTTAAAATTGCGCGAGTTTATATATCTTATTGTAAACTAGAATTAAACTACAATCCAAGGAGCTAAGATTGTTGTTGAAGATCAACAACAATCTTAGCTCCTTGGCAGCATCGGTTCACTGGAAGTAGCATTTAGGAAGATAGAGTCCATTAAGCATTAATCGTAGCTCTATGATTCGTCATGTTAATTGCAGTAAGATTCAAACTTTCAATTGGTCGTTGGGTGATGTAAAACATCAACACATATTAACACATTGTGAAACACTGAAGTAAACATACATGTCAAAGTTGAAAGAGATTAGCATTTGATTTGTGAAAAATCACATTTCCTTCAGATAACTACCCTACTAAATAGGCCAACAGTGAAAAACCGAAAGTTTATGACTCATATTGAAATATATATTGAAATACAGGAAAGAAATCTGAGTATGTCACACGTAATTAACCTTATTCTATAGGCCCAATAGTGAAAAACCGAAAGTTTATATGACTCATATTGAAATAGAGGAAATAAATCTGAGTGTGTCACACATAGTTAATGGCGCAACCTAACCGTGATAAAGTTCAAGGTTCCTTGATTCCCTCGGAATGGCCGAACAAAGAACAAGCTTGAAGTTTCGTTGATTCAAAGAATAGCCGAAATTCAAGAGAAAAGAAGCTTAATAGCTCTGATTCTTATTCAATAAAATACTACCTCTTCTCACAAACACAAGAAAGGCTTAAATAATGAATGTCAAAGACAAAACCCTAATCGAACGATCAAAAAGGAAATAACAAAAAGGAAACTTAAAGCCCAAGTAACCTTGAATTCAAAAGATAACTAAAAGCCCGAATAGTAATAAAGGAAAGTAAGAAGATGCGCTGCATCAGGTCCCTCCGGGTAGGAGGAGATTCGTCTCTGAATCTGGAACGTCATTATCACCAAGAAACTTCGAGAGGTATTTGACGTTGAAGACGTCGGCTGTCTTGATGTGTGAAGGTAAGCGTAACCGGTAAGCATTGTTGTTTATACGCTCCAAAACTTCCACGGGACCAATCTTACGCGATCGTAACTTATTATACTCATGTAATGGCATCCGATCTTTAGTGAGAACCACCCAAACCAACTCTCCAGGCTCATAAACAACTTCACGGCGTTTAGCGTCGGCACGAGCTTTATACTTAGTTGTAGACAATTCCAACTGGTCGCGAGCTTGTTGGTGAGTATTCTTCAAAGAGTCGACGAACTCCACAGTTTTACCATGCATGCGACGTGGATCCGGCACTGTGGTAAGATCCAACGGACCACGAGGTAAAATGCTATAGACAATCTCAAACGGACTGAAACCAGAGCTCCGATTCGTAGCATGATTGTGCGCAAACTCTGCTTGAAAAAGACGTGCTTCCCATGAACGTAAGTTTTCTCCCACAAGACAATGTAGCATATTACCCAAAGCTCGATTAGTGACCTCCGTTTGACCGTCTGTTTGGGGGTGATAAGCGGTGCTCATGTCAAGACTAGTTTGTAACATCTTCCACAATGATCTCCAAAAGTGACTTAAAAACCTTGTATCGCGATCCGAGACAATGGACGTGGGAAGACCATGCAACCGATAGACTTCTTGGAAGAACAATTGAGCCACACGAACCGCATCCGTCGTTTGTTTACAAGGCAGAAAGTGGGCCATCTTAGAGAAACGATCAACAATGACAAAGATAGAGTCATTACCCCTTTGCGTGCGTGGAAGTCCCAAAATGAAGTCCATACTCACATCTGTCCAAGGCTGAGTGGGAATCAGTAAAGGGAGGTAGAGACTAGCATTGGAGGCGTTGCCTTTTCCCAGCTGACAAGCGCGACAGCGCTCAAAAAATATTTCGACATCGCGACGGAGAGAAGGCCAAAAATAAGAACCGGAAACCAGTTGTAAGGTTCGATCACGTCCGACATGACCTTCCTTGTGGAGCTCCTCAATCACCTTCAAACGCAAGCTACAGTCAGGGACACATAACTGTAAACCACGAAAAAGAAACCCATCCGTTAAGGTAAAGTCATCGCGCACACCATCACGAACATCAGCAAGAACTGAACTAAAGAATGGATCCGTGTCATATAACTCCGAGAATGATCCAAATCCGGGAACAGCAACGTGCATTGTGGAGAGCAAGGTGTGTCTCCGACTCAACGCATCCGCCAAGCGATTCAACTTACCGGCCTTGTGACGAATCGAAAACGTGAACTGTTGTAGGTACGCTATCCAAGACGCATGTCGTGAAGAAACTTTGACTTGGCTATCAAGGTGTTTGAGCGCGTCATGATCGGTGAACAAGACAAACTCTCGATGCACAAGATAATGTCTCCAATGCTTGATAGCTTGCACCACAGCATAAAACTCAATGTCATACGTGTTGTAGCGACTTCGTGCCCCTGCTATCTTCTCGCTAAAATAAGCAATAGGCCGAGTCTGTTGGCTCAACACTGCTCCAATGCCCAACTTGGAAGAGTCACAATGAAGCTCAAACGGCAGCTCAAAATCTGGTAAGACCAAGATGGGGGCGGAGGTCAGCTTCTGTTTAATCAACTCAAAGGTATCTTGAGCTTCTGTCGACCACACAAACTGTCCTTCCTTCATGCAATCAGTCAATGGCGCCATAATGGAGCTGAAATGTGGTACGAAACGTCGATAAAAAGACACTAACCCATGGAAACTGCGAACATCAGAGATCGTTTTTGGTATGGGCCAAGATCTCACAGCCTCAACTTTGCTCGTATCCATGGACAAACCCGAAGAAGATACTACATAGCCAAGAAACAACACACTATCGACTCCAAACTCACACTTTTGGCGTGCCACAAAAAGTGTTTCTCGCTGTAGAACCAACAATACTTGTCGAATATGGTCTTGGTGGTCGGCTAGGGAAGAGCTGAAAATCAAGATATCGTCAAAGTAGACCACCACAAACTTACCAATGTAAGGTCGCAAAGCTTGGTTCATCACTCTCATAAAAGTACTCGGAGCATTCGATAACCCGAAAGGCATCACCATCCACTCAAACAATCCCTCGCGAGTCTTAAAAGCCGTCTTCCACTCATCACCTGGCCGGATACGGATTTGATGATAGCCGCTTTTCAAATCCAGTTTGGAGAACACGGTTGCTTTGCCAATTTGATCAAGAAGGTCGTCCAAACGAGGGATGGGAAAACGATAGCGAACCGTGATCTTGTTAATGGCACGACTATCTACACACATACGCCACGAACCGTCTTTCTTTGGGATAAGAAGAGCGGGAACAGCACAAGGACTAAGGCTCTCACGAATATGGCCTTTAGCGATGAGCTCCTCTACTTGGCGGCGTAGCTCTTCATGTTCTTGTGGACTCATGCGGTAGTGAGGTCTGTTTGGAAGAGCAGCTCCTGGAACCAAATCAATCTGATGTTGGATATCACGTAACGGAGGTAAACCTTGTGGTAAAGTTTCAGGAAAAACATCGTTGAACTCCAGTCCGCTAACGGTGAGTCAGGTGGAGAAGAGACATTCGTCGAGAATAGAGCAACAGCAAAACCGGTCTCCTGAAATTCCGAGGCAAACACTGGTGCAGAACAGAGGAGAACCTTCGTTGGTCGAGGAGGACCCGAAGACAATGGCTGCACTTGAGAAGACTTTTCTAGCAACGATGCTTCTGGCCTGGGAAGCAAAACAATCTTACGATTGTCAAACACAAAACTATAGACATTACTCTTCCCACTATGAGTCACGTCACGGTCATATTGCCATGGACGACCAAGCAAGAGATGGCCGACATCCATTGGAGCAACATCGCAACAAATCTTGTCTTTATAATACTGTCCGATCGAGAAAGAGACCCATGCTCGGTGAGAGATGCCGATCTCAGCGTCAGAGTTTAACCACGTCAGCGCATAGGGTCGTGGATGTTTCTCCCGAGCAAGACCCAATTTTTGACAAGCTTCCTCCGAGGTTACATTCTTTGAGCTCCCTGCGTCAATAACAAAAGTGCAGACCTTACCCTTGATTGTGCAAGTCGACTGAAATATGTTAGTGCGGAGCCATGATTCTTCTCGTGCCACCGGTGACAGGCAAGAACGAACCACAAGGAGTGTCCCCTGATCGCCATCATTCCGATCGACAAGCAGGTCCTCGTCGTAAGTGGCCGGAGTCTCTTCTCCGTCATCATCCCATCTTACTTCCTCACTAAGTAGCCCACGTCGAGTCTTCTTCGGACATGCGGTTTGAATGTGGCCCGCCTCTCCACAACCAAAACAGCGTAGGGCGTTTGGTCGAGACGAACGACGCAAGCTCGGGTTCTCGCCTGTCGTTCCCTTGTCTCCAAGGCGCTCGCTAGCTGCTTCTTCTACAAGCCGAGAGGGAACGTTTAAAGGACCCGTCTCTGTCGGTACATTAGTTGGAGGTCTAGTACGACCAGAAGAATTCCAGCTGAGATTAGATTTGAATTGTAGCTCGAACGCTACAGCTCTCCGGTGAGCTTCGGCAATGGTGGTTGGATCAAACTGGACCAAAGCGTTTTGGATTTGTGCTCGCAAGCCTCCGATGAAACGGGAAACCAGCTGAATCTCACTATCGAATATTTCATTGCGAGTAATCAACAAGAAAAATTCATCTGCATATTCGTCAACTGTACGAGCTCCCTGCTTCAAATTTTGCAGCCGAGTGTACATAGTGCGATCATAATTCTGAGGCAGAAAAGAATGCTTCAAGTGTTTTTGTAACTTCTCCCATGTACTGATCTTGGGTTTACCCGTTCGTGTACGTGTTGCCTTCAACTACAACCACCACGAGGCTGCCCGACCGCGAAACTTGGTAGCTACCAAGGCGACTTGACGGTCTGGTGGCACTTGTTTGAATTCCAGCAGCTCTTCCACAGCTACAAGCCAATCCAATAATTCCTCTCCACGAACACTACCATGGAATTCAGGAAGGTCCAAACGAAATCCTGATTCCCAACGTCGATCCTCTTGTTCATTATCGCGAAACTCTTTGTGATTGCGATGACCTCGAGCTCTGTTTTGCGAAAAAGGATTTACATGACTCTGTTCCGATACATCATCCTCCGAATCGCCTTGGAACTGATGATGTAGAACAGTTTCTGTTAACTCATGGATTGAGTTAGCAATAGTAGCCTGGATATTCTCTTGCATCGTAACAAGAGTTCTACGAAGCTCGGCCCACTCGTTGAGTGGCTCACCATCTTGCCTCGCGTGTGGGTTACGTTTAGGAGCCATGATGTCCGGACAAGAAAAACCTAGACAGGAACGTCGAAGTCTTTGATACCAAACTGGCGCAGCCTAACCGTGATAAAGTTCAAGGTTCGTTGATTCCCTCGGAATGGCCGAACAAAGAACAAGCTTGAAGTTTCGTTGATTCAAAGAATAGCCGAAATTCAAGAGAAAAGAATCTTAATAGCTCTGATTCTTATTCAATAAAATACTACCTCTTCTCACAAACACAATAGAGGCTTAAATAATGAATGTCAAAGACAAAACCCTAATCGAACGATCAAAAAGGAAATAACAAAAAGGAAACTTAAATCCTAAGTAACCTTGAATTCAAAAGATAACTAAAAGCCCGAATAGTAATAAAGGAAAGTAAGAAGATGCGTTGCATCAGTTAACCTTATCCTAACCCTACTAAATAGGCCTAATAGTGAAAACCGAAAGTTTATATGACTCATATTGAAATAGAGGAAAGAATTCTAAGTCTATCACACGTAGTTAACCTTATCCTAACCTACTAAACAGGCCCAATAGTGAAAAACCGAAAGTTTATATGACTCATATATTGAAATAGAGGAAAAAAATCTGAGTCACACACGTAGTTAACCTTATCCTAATTTTGTCTTTATCCAAATTGTATTTTCCATTTGTAATGTTTTGAGCGAGGAGCGCCAAAACCCTAAAGCATCTACCCTTTAAATACACACTTAGTCTTCTCACATTTCTGTAGCCGTTTTCTCTGTGACTGTCTACACATTGCTCACCGGAGAAAATGGTGATTTTGTACCCAGCCATGAAGAAACCACCGTTGCCAATCACAAACCGGTTGTGTTTGAAGAGAAATATACCTCCACCTCTCCTGCTAGATCCCCAAAAAATTCTGCCACAAATGTTTCAAATGGATGATCTTAGTTTCAATGACTTGTTTCACGAACTATGCTTCGGAGTCAACTGTTTCGCCGGCAGCTCAAACAAGGTATGAACGTACATATGTTTTCTTTCTTCTCCTTGTAAAAAAAAACTAAGAAATTCCAAATCGGTTTTGAAAATGGGTTTTGTGCAATTTAATCTATAAACTAAATTAAATTTGCAAATCAAACCCGAATGCAAACCAAACATATGAAGTCAAAAGTCACACGTTAAATAGACTCTCTCTGTATTATTCATCGTTAAATGTAACGTTGACTTAAAACGTTTGGTTAAAGTGAAATTTGTAAAAATGAACCTCTGAACTAAATTAACCATGCAAATTTAACCTTGAGGTTTTTCCTCTGCAAATCAAATCCACCAACTCAAAAGTCACCAGCTAAAGAGACCCTTATAAAAAAACTAAGAAATTCCATATCGGTTTTGGGGAAATATAAACTGAATTTAGGAAAACCTGAAATTATGATTTTAGGGGATTTTAATCAATTCTGGATATGCCTGCAACCCTCGTTCAGATTAAACATACGACACATTTTGTATTTTTTGGCTAGTTTTGTTTTACTAACTACAAAAGGCAAAAATAACATCGTCTTCTTCACCTTTCTTGCGATTCTGCAACCCTGAAATTGAGCCGCCAACATTTTTTCTCTCTCTGTTTTCACTAGTTTTTCTTGTATTTTTTTTTTACAATAATAAGATAGATCTTATCTTTATAAACTACAAATGACTAATGCAAGGTACTCGAGTGGTTAGGTAGTCTAATATTGTGCCCGCAACCCAAGTTCAAACTAAACATACAATAAATTTTGTATTTTTTTGCTAATTTTGTTTTAACATACTACAAAAATAACACCATCTTCTTCACCTTCTTGTGAGATTCTCCAACCATACAATTGAGTGATTTTTGAGTTGATGGGTTCGATTAACACAGAAAAAAAATTCAGGATTTAATTTGCAAATTTATTAGTTTGTGGGTTAATTTACACAAAAACTTCATTGTTAATTTTCCAAACTGTCAACATGGGCCACATTGACAATGCAAATAAGGATTGTTTACCCGGTGATTTTTTAGTTAGTGGGTTTGATTTGCTCTGCAAAAAACTCAGGATTTGATTTTTAAATTTAATTTAGTTTGTAGGTTAATTTGCACAAAACCTTTAGAAAATCTTAGGGTTAACTGGTTTTGGTGTGCACTGATTGGATTGGTAGAGTTTCTTTGGAATTTATGATGGCCTTGAACGTGGGAAAGCTGCGGAATTTGTGGCTACAAATTTGCACAAAAATGTTTTTGAGATGATGAAAAAATTGTGAGGAAAATGGGGAGAAAGAAGAAGAAGAAGAAGCCGTTAAAGCTTCTTGTATTTGAAACTAATCCGTGATTTCTTCGAAAAGGTCTTATCTTTACAGACAATAATTTTAATCATTAAATTTACATTGTAAGATTACAATCTACTTGAGCTTACTGATAACAACAACAACATGCAGGGCCTTAAGAGTGGTGACTACTGTGTTACAGTTTTGATACAAGATGAGGAGATGATTGTCTCGAATTTGGGAAATTGTAAAGCTTTTCTGTGTACTCGAGAAGGAGTTGCTAAGGTCCTTACAAGTGATCATAAAGCAGAAACAATTGAAAATCAGGTAATTAGGGTTGTTGGAGAAAAATGTAACTTTGTTCTTGTTAATTGTAATGTTGAGAGAGTAGCTTTTTGATACTTCCATTGATATTTTGCTTCTATAGGGAGGTTATGTTGCTAAAACAAGAAAACTGGAATTGGAAGAAGATATGGAATTTCTTGTCTTAACTTTTAATGGTCTTTGGGATGTGGTTAGTAATCAAGAAGCTGCTGACACAATGTTGAATGTTTTAGCTCAGGAAAAGACTCCTAAAACATTCAACACTGTGTCAACAGCTTCTTGATTACTAACCACATCCCAAAGACCATCAGAAGCTAAGACAAGAAACTCCATATCTTCTTCCAATTCCAGTTTTCTTGTCTCAGCGACATAACCTCCATATAGAAGCAAAATGTCAATGGAAGTATCAAAAAGCTACTCTCTCTTATTACTACAGTTAACAACAACAACAATGTTACATTCTTCTCCAACAACCCTAATTACCTGATTTTCGATTCTTTCTGCTTTGTGATCACTTGTAAAGGCCTTATCAACTCCTTCTCGAGTACACAGAAGAGCTCTACAATTTCCCAAATTCGAGTCAATCATCTCCTCATCTTGTATCAAAACCGTAACACAGCAGCCACCACTCTTAAAACCCTGCATATTGTTGTTGTTACCAATAAACTCAAGTACAATAGAACCTCTATAAAGTAATACTCGATAAAGTATTACCTCGATAAATGAATAGAATTTTCAAGTCCCAAATTAAGTTTTTGATGTAATTATCTCTCGATAAATTAATAATCTCGCTAAAGTAATAAAATATTATGGTCCCAACGTTATTACTTTATCGAGGTTTTACTGTAAATTGTAATCTTACAATGTAAGTTTAAGAATAAATATTATTGTCTATAAAGAAGACATTTTCGAAGAAATCACGGATCAGTTTTCAAATACAATAAACTTTAAAGGCGGCTTCTTCTTCTTCTTTATCCCCATTTTCCTCACAATTTTTCCATCATCTCAAAATCATTTTTTTGCAAATTTTTAGCCACAAATACCGCAGCTTTCCCACGTTCATTGCCATCATAAACTCCAAAGAAACTCTACCAATCCAATCAATGCACACCAAAACCAGTTAACCCTAAGATTTTCTAAAGATTTTGTGCAAAATAACCTACAAACTAAATTAAATTTAAAATCAAATCCTGATTTTTGTTCAGTGCAAATGAAACCCACTAACTTCAAAACTCAAAAGTCACGGTAAACAATCTTTCTCTGTACTAGGTATTTTACCCGCGCGCGAAAACGATAGAGGAAACTTTTTAAAAAAAAATGAATAACTATAAAAGAAATTAAAGCAGAAGATATAGAAGAATAAAATAAAGACAATTACCAAACTTAAATTAAAGAAGAGATCAAGAAGAAAGAAGCTATTGAAAGACAATAATGTGTGTCGTTTGGAATTTAAAAAAAAAAAAATTTTCTAGCCCTAAAGTTTTATCAGTGAATATGGTCATTTCGAGATGTAGATGGTTGTTTTTAGAATTTAAAAAGAAATTACCTAAACTAAATATATAAAAAATATCATCTAAAAAAAATTAACTCAAAATTTAGTCTAAGTAAAAATTTTCATTTCTTTGGACATCCAATATAATTTTTTTAATTTCTAAGTTATAAATAGACTAAATAAAATATATTCTTAAATATTTTTTTTAAACTGCAAAAATCAACAGTTAAAACTTAATAATATTTCAATACCAAAAATCTCTGGGAAAAAAAAGTTTTTAGATATATAATATCGTGTTGAGATCAAATCTTAACATACAAAAATATTGTTTAGATCATATCTAGGTAACACAAATGTTTGTGTATGTCTAATGACCAAAACTTGTTTGAAGATATTCAAATCATTATAATAGGACAAACTTTATTAGCAATATATACATATATATATACATTGTAAAATGAACTATTGTGACGTGTTAATATTTTCTAAACAGAAATGGGGAAATTTCAAAACTACACCTTTTGAATTGCCAATTTACAAAAATACACCTCTATGGTGTTTATTTTCAAAACTACAATTTTTTCATTAAGTAAAAGAACTCTAAACCCTAAAATATAAACCCAAAACCCTAAAATTTAACATTGAACCCTTAAATCTAGACCCTAAACCCCAAAATCTAAACCCTAGTTTAGGATTAGTGAACCCAAACATATATATTAAAATTAGGAAAAATTGTCAATATAGGTGTAGTTTTGAAAATTTGCACCTCAAGAGGTACTATTTCTCAACAGAAATACATTTTTAATCATTTTCTAAACAGAAATATATTTTTAAATATGTATAGTGAAATTCTTAAAATTAGATGTCAACAGTATTTGTATGTAACACGATGTTTATTTAAAATAACTTCAATTCGTTATGTTAGAACTTAAAATGCTATAAACAACATATAATTTATTTTTCAGTACATTTAACTTACACATCGTGTTATTAGTTTATAAACTTTGATCATAATAGTATATATTTAGCTTTTATATAATATAAATTATGTATATTCTTTTTTATGGCTTAAAGAAAATCTTAAATCATTGTTTGTTCAATGTTGATTTTTTGTTAGTAATTTTGTCACGTTTTTTATGCGTTATGGTATACATTTCTTTTTAGAAGTAGTTTTATATTAATGTTTACTTGAATATTTCCGCCTTAAATCTGTTTATAAATACATTCTTGTTCAAAAAATTTGTTAGTTACATATTTGTTTAGAAATTGCAAAATTCAGTTAGTGTTTATTTAATTGCAAAAATGGTTATTAACTCACCTCATATCATGTTTCTAATCAAATCGAGTAATCATATTTGGCAAGTTTATACTACACCAAAAATGAAATATTTCCTCTTGAATTTGATGGCAAAAGCTTTGTCTTGACCGATCAAACTCTGGCTGCTCATGGAATTGATACACCTCCTGCAATCATTGTGATCATCAAAGAAACAGTCTCCATATCTTCTTCATATGTCTTTCTACAGTATGAGTCTTGGATCAAGCCCTGCTTCTCAATAAACTTATGGCAAACTCACACATTTTTCAGGAACTCTTTGAAGATGTAGAAAAACTGATTATTCTACCCCTAATAGGTTTATTGCCTATATCTCTTTATCCTTATATATTTTGCCATTTTTGGAAGGTTCGTGATTTTCTCTTATTTGAAAATCGTTATTTACATGGAGATGAAATCTTCTTAAAGGATGTGAAGGATGCCAGACATCAACCTCTTCTTTCTCTCCGTCTGACCTCCATTATCCTCCCGAATACGAACTCTTATTTTGTTGATGTAGGGTGGAATGCTTTCTCGAAAATTTGTTGTATAGGTTGCACTATTAAATCTCCTTTGAATTCTTCTGCTCCATAGTAATCCAAACAAACTATTTACTTTTTTGACCATTTTTTGAAGCTACGATGAACTAAATATTATATAGTATGCTATTGTTTTCTTGATTTTTTGTTTTAGCTCCCAAAGCTTGATCTCTCTCATCACCTAAAAAAACTGCAAATGAACTCATATGTCTTCTATACGACATTAGCATTTTTGTTTCTATCTCCATTTTTTTATTCATAGATTATGTAATGTTGAGATCGACTCTTTTGCAATGTTGGCTTTGTTTGCTTAGAACAATTCTTCAGTTATTATGGTGTAACCTACTCTTTATTTGTAAAAACTTAAGTTTGGTCAAAGATAGTTCACCTTAAGGTTTATTTAATTCTTTATAACTAATATTTTAGTTATACAAATGTTTTTATATAATTTTTTTAAAATATATAAATTAATTTAATTACGTTGGACTTGTGGAGTTTCTAATTTAAACCGGTTCTATTAATTAATTTTCTTGAAACATAAAAGAAGTTAACTAATTTTAAAAATATAGCTAATTTTAGATGACGATATAGATTAATATTATTGGCTGTTTAAAATTTGAAAAAATGAGATGATGATATAGATTAATACTATTGGTTGTTTAAAATTGGGAAAAAGAATAATTATGTAAATATTTATGTGGACCAATAAGATGCGATTTTATAATCTTATGTGGACACTCTTAAATGCACACATAGAAGATATATAAACTCGCGCAAATAAAATTAAACTAGAATTAAATATTGGTAAAATAAATCATGTATTCGAGTTAAATATTGGTGATTGTATTCGAGTTTATATATCTATGGAGCCAGTTTACAACTAGGATTTTCACCAGCGCACGCGCGGGCCTGTATTTTAAATTGGTTTAATGTATATTTTTAATGAATAATTTTTTTAAACTGCAAAAATCAACAACTAAAATATATGAATCTATCAATACCAAATTTCTATGGAAAACAATTTTTTTTAGATATATCAATAACTTGTTGAGATGAAATCTTGGCATACAAAAATGTTGTTTAGATCAAATCCCGGTAATGAAAATGTTTTCGTCTGTCTAATAACCAAAAATTAATTGAGGTTATTCAAATCCTCCTTTTTTATTTATAATTTTTTTTAAATAAAATTTTACATTAAACACTATTTTTCAATTCTTTTTTTGTACGTAACACATATATTTCCAGTACAAATACTCATAATGTCAACATACATGTGTTCTGTGGGAAGAATTTTTTTTTTTATCCGACTTTTGTAAGTTAGTATACCTAGTAAAGAGATGGTCTCCATATCTTCTTCATATGTCCTTCTATAGTCTAAGTCTAGAATTCAGCCCTACTTCTCAATAAACTTATGGCAAACTCACACCTTTCTCGAGAACTCTTTGAAGATGTAGGCAAGATGATTATTATGCCCCTAATAAGTTTATTGTCTACAATTCTTTATTCTTATACTAGATTAAGGCCCGCGTATACGCGGGTATATTTTAAGATTTTATAATAAAAGCATGGAAAATATTAAACAAAATTTGATCATTTTTAAACGTAAACAAAATAATATTGAAAACCCGATAAAAATATTTAAATAAAATAAGATTGGTAATACTTTTACATTTTTATTGTAATTGATTTTTCTTTTGAATTTATGATATGACAAAATGAATTAATTTGTTTTACTATTATTTTTATCCAATACAGAAAGACTTACACATGTCTAAATCTGATCAACTGATTAATTAATCAAACTTTTATTATTCCATTCAAGAGATTTTAATTGATGAAATCTTTATTTCAATTTTTTTTACCTAACAAAAATTGAAAATCAAACTATTTAAAATTAGAATATCAATTATAATTTTTTAATATTAGTTAATTGCTTG